CAATTACATGTATTAAGTAGCTTGTCGATGACAGGCCCCATTAGCTGACGCATGCCAATGTGCGAACAATACGTATTGTAGACGATGTGTGCGTGAAGATCCTCGAGAACGTACGCAGGGCGATGAGACCCAACGGTCGGCTCATCGTAGTCGACAGCTTGCTCGCGCCTGAAGGTACGTTGCACTCACCCCCAGCTCAGCCGTAAGGTGATGGGCACTATTGTCTCCACAATTTGGCTGACTCCACTCTCTCTCTCTCTCTCTCTCGATCGAGTGTAGGTCAATACACCAGGCAGGTCCCTGTGAGCGTGGAGTTGCAGGACCTGCACATGGCGGTGATGCTCAACGGCAAGGAGCGCAGCGAGGTCCAGTTCCGCGAGGTGTTCGAAGCCGCCGGCTTCCGCATGCTGAGCGTCACTCACACTCGCGGCATCTTCCACCTCGTCGAAGGCGCTGTCGCTCAGTGAGGTCTCTCTCCCTCGCTACGCTTTTTTCAGACTTTCCACAAACGTATGACGGCTTGGATTTTTAAAAAAAAATAGAAAGGAAAACAAAGGGAAATGTACAGGCAACCACCGAAATGTCGCCGGTGGTTCGTTTCGGGTGGTCCGGCTGCCCGATCAGGTGTGTCAGCAAGCGGACCTGCTTGCAGCGACCACCAGCCAACACTTTTACGTAACTACCTCACAACAAAGAATCACTATCTGTAGCTGATGCGCGTGTTTCACTTTGCTGCTGTGGCTGCGGCCTTGCTGGTGGTGGCTACCACCATCCTCTACTCGCCTTCCTCCACTTATGCCACTCCAGCCTCTTCCTCTACGTTCTCTTCATCCACCACTCCCTCTTCCCAACCATTCGCGTCGTGGGCAAACGAAGGCGCTGCATTCCCCTTGCCTCCTCGATGGGTCGTGCTCGCCTTGAATAGGGTGCTCGCCTGGCTCCAGAGCCTACGCGATGCCTTCCTCCCTCCCCAGCTGAGGCTGCTCGAGCTCCACTTCAAGTTCGTGCACAACCGCGCCCTCCACGCCGCCGCCACCCTCGGCCTCGCTGACGTCGTGCCACCAGAGCCAGACCAACTGGTACGCGACCTGGTGTGCTCAGGTGTGGTCTGTTCGAGCGAGAAGCTAATGATGTGATTGCCTGGTGAACAGTGGCCGACGTCGAGCGAGATCGCGCAACGGTTGAAGGCCAGTGACGAAGAGTTGGTTTATCGGTTCCTTCGGCTGCTGTCGTCCATCGGCGTGTTCGAGGAGCATGCCGGGCGGCGCTTCGGTCACACGCCCATGAGCCTCCTGCTCCGCCGAGACCACCCTCAGAGCGTGAGGTACGTACACCATCTTCCCCCAACCACTCAACACACAACACACACACCACAACACACACAACACACACGGCGGCGCTCATCATGTGAGTGGCTTGTGGTTTTCTGGCTAGGGCGAGCATCTTGTGCTTCGGATTGGCCCAGTACGAGGGGTGGAACGGACTTTCGCACATGCTTCTCACGGGCGAGACTGCATTCGATCACGTCAACGGGGGAAAGACCTGTGGACCTACTACAACGAACCCGAACACCGCAGAGGTCCATTGCCGCCATCTCACGTGCACCGGTGGCTCACTTGGTTTTGGGCTGACTTGCCGGTGGTGTCTACCAGAACTGGAGTACTTCCAGAAGATGCTGGTGCAGACACTCTCCATCACCACGCCGCCGATTGTTCAGGACTTCGACTGGCCCGCACTCGTTCAGCAAGTGCAGCGCGAGAAGGGAAGCGAGCAAGTCTCCATCATCGATGTTGGCGGCGGTATGCTTTAGTTTTCTGTGCATTCTTTGCTTGGCGCAGCTCACATCTTATGTGGCTCAACTGTGTGCAGGGCTGGGGACTGTGCTTCACTTGCTCTTGGAGAACGTTCCTTCACCGGAGGTGAGCGGGATTCTGTTCGACCAGGAATCGGTGATAGAAAAGGCCAGGACCAAGTGGGCCGACGACCCGCTCCGCAATCGCACCACGTTCATCGCGGGTAACATCAGCTCCACTCCAGACTCGCTCTTCTTGTCAGGGTGAACCCTCGGCCTCACACCTTTCCTCAGGGAGCTTCCTGGATCGCATCCCCGAGGCCGATGTCTTCGTGCTGCGCATGGTGCTGCACGACTGGAACGACAGCAAGGCAGCGCTCATTCTCAAGAACATCAGGTATTTTCTGAGCTCGAGCCCAATGACAGGCAGCTTTGATGATGGATTTCTGAATAATGTTTGTGGCTGGTGTATCAACAGATACATGATGAAGCCCCACAGCAGGGTGGTGGTGATCGAGAATGTGATGCCACCAGAGGGCCAGCACTCCAACCTCATCCCGCTGAGCGTGGAGGTGCAAGACCTGCACATGATGGTCATGCTCGGCGGCAAGGAGCGCACCGGCCACCAGTTCGAGCAGCTCTTCTCCAGGGCTGGCCTCGCCCTGGCGCGATCCGTCCCCACGCGTGGCATCTACCACATCATCGAAGGTCGTCTCGCATGAACACCTCGCAGTGTTTGAGACACACTCTTGTATATAAAGCTGTTTGTTTTGAACATACGGATAAAGATAAAGGTGATACATGCCATTGGGGCGTTCGATACATGAAGGTAGGTTTATTCACACTATGTATAGGTGGAGTTGAAGACGGGCGGGCAGGCCGGTCTGTGGGTGGATGGGCCTAGTGCGCCCTCTTGCCGTGGCGCGGCTTCTGCTGCTTGGCGGCCTTCTGCTCGTAGGCGCGGGCCTTGAGGAGCTGCGTACTGTGGGCCTTGCAGTAGACCTTGCCGTTGGCTGCCGTGGCCGCGATCACGTTGACACCTGGCGGTGGATAGAAGTTGTCGTTGGCGTTAGAGGAATGTTAACCCAAACGAGGTCACACCTGATTGGTTACCAGGTATACGTAGAGTGAGCTATGACTGGAATGTGTGTAAACATACCCTTGGTGATGGGGGCGGAGCAGTGGGCGCACTGGAGGACCAGCGCATTGTCGGCGAGGTTCTTCCTCTTCGCCCTCTTTTCGGCCTCTTCCTCCTGCTGGGCCATCTCCTTGCGGCGCCTGGCCACCTCCTCTTCGACGCGTCGCCTGATCTCGGCGATCCGCCTGGCTCGCGCTTCGTCGCCTTCAGAGCTCTTCTGGTTTCGCTCGTGGCTGTTGTCGCTTTCGCTCTTGTCCTTCTTGTCCAGCCACACGAACTCGGAGAGGCCGAAGTCCTCCTCCTTCAGCGCAGCCAGCAGGGCCTCGGGGGGACTGTGCGTCGGGGGAGGAGTGAGTGTTCGCCCAAAACAAAAATAAACGACTGTCCCCGCCCATTGGCTGCCGAACAATAAGAAGTGGAAGTGGATGTGTGACACCTACCTATCCCACATGAGGGAGGCCAGCATCTCGTTGGACACCTCCTCGTTGGACTCGAGCACGTTCTTGACTTCCTGCTCGACAGAGGCGCTGGTGGCGTTGGTGTTTCCCATGGCTGGATGAGGTGGAGGGATTGGTGTTGTGGGTTTTGGGTTGTTGGGTATCTGTTACAACCAAAGCTTAGGTGTGGCTTCGGTTTGGTCTTGCGGTGATGTGGTGCTGTAGTGGTTGTTCGCTGTTGCGCGAGTTGGAATGTAAGACTAAAACTCGCGCTTCGCGCTGGCCAGGTTTCGCGAAGTAAGGTTGACCCGCAGCTCGGGCGGTTCGGTGCCTTCAGCGCACCCAACATCCATCCAACCCCATCGCTTTCGCTTTCTTTTCGTTCTGTCCTCTAGTGGCCATGGACCCACGTTGTCTCAAGAGACGGTGCTCTCGCCTTCTTCCACGACATTTCTCGAAACAGCTGCATCTTCGGTGGCAATTTCACTGTCAATCTCGGACATAGTGATGCGCATAGTTGAGGAAATAAAACGTCAAGTTTCTGTTGACTTTCTTGGACCCTAACGGCTAAACCCAACAACTCAAGGTATGTACACGTGCGCTGGTGCTCACAGCGCCATCAGTAGGGCCTGTCGCGGAGGCTCGGGTTGCGGGCGCTGTACGACGAGGGCTGCTTGCCTCCTGCATCTGATGAGGCTGGTGGTGTCTCCTTCTTCATCAGCGCCAGCTTGGCCTGGATGGCCTTGATCTTGGCCTCGTTGCTGTTGATGGTGAGAGCACGGTGTGAGAAGTTTCCTGTTACGCAGCCATGTACGCGGAGAAGAGAGACGGCACCTGATCCTCTTATGTTCCTTATCTCTCTCATTCTCCTGTTTGCGGGCCTTCTCCGCTTCAACCACCGCACTGTCATCGGAGAGCCGGTCGTTGGAGTACAACACCTGAGGCGGCGAGAGGTGAGACGTGTGTGTGAGCACGGGCCAGAGCAGAGGCCCTAGCGCCAGAAGAAGTCTCGAGCGTGAAAAAAAGACGGGGCGCACCTTCTCATCGACGAAGCGCACGACCAGGGGACGCCCGAGGAACATCCTGCCGTTGGCCCTTTCCTTGGCCGTCTGCGCTTCCTGTTGGCGCCGAGAGGAGTGGGACGTTAGCGTCGAGCTACGCCCTCAGAGGGCGAGTGGCGCACAGCGAGCGACCAAGAAGCGGTGGAGTGCGTACCTGCTTGGTGGCAAACTCAACGAAGCAGAAGCCCTTGGGTTCGCCTCGCTTGGGTCCATGCTTGTGCCAGATGAACTGTTCTCTCACAATCTTGCCATACTGCTGAAACAGCTTGATTACGTGGTACCTTGGGGGGGGGGAAGAATTAAAGTCTGAATCACCAGATTTGGCTTGTTGGCATGAGGAATGTACTCGTTGGCAGTCGGGGCGAGGTTGCCTACGTAGAGCTTGTGCTCCATAACTTCACCTGCAGCTGCCCTGTACTGTCCTCCCCGTGCACCGAAAAATGCGCACCACATTCCCAGACCCATGATCAGCTTCTCATTCCTTGCAAGATCCTTCCAGTTGCATGACGCAATACGTACAGAGCTCGTGCGGGGGTGAGTGTCGCTGTGGTCGACCTTCGACCTACTCATCTTGCGTGTTGCGGATGCGGACTGTGCAGGTGAAAAGAAAAAGAAAATAATTAGCCAGTTATTTCTTTGATTTTTTAAATCAATTCCAAATCTTCGAGATGGAGGGGAGAAGGAGCGTGGGAGGCGTGCAGAGGGATAGAGAGCGGGAGCGCGAGAAGGAGAAGGAAAGGGAGAGGCGAGAAAGACGGCATTCCTCCCATGGCCACAACTCGTCTGCTGCTGTGCATGCGGCGAAGAAACAGCGAATCGCGGAGAACAAGCAGCAGGATGAAGATCCATTCGCGGTGACCCCCGAAAACGTACACAAGACGCAGATGATCGATGCCGATACGGACATGATCTTGCGCTACTTCGGCTGCCTTCTGATGCGCAAGGCTGCCGGTCTCCTCCGCTTGTACGTCTCCACCAAAAGTAGCCTATCTTGTGCTTGAAGTGCTGCGCTCAAGTTGCTGCGTTGGGGTCGCCGCAGGCCTGCACGAACAGCATGCACGGCCCAGTACTACTTCCATCGCTTCTACGATCTCCACCCGCTCCACAAGCTAGACATTGCGGTACGCGCTGGGCTTCTCTTTCTTTCCTTGCTGACGGCTGATCACTCTGGTTTGGGCTGAGCGCTGAGTCGTGGTTTGTGTTACTCTTGCCCAACTGCGCAGTTGATGGCGCAGAGCTGTCTGTACCTGGCGTGCAAAGCGGAGGAGACGCTGCGGAAAGCGAGGGACGTCATCAACTCGTGCTACTTCCTGCTTCAGCCCCAACAGCCGATGCTCAAGATCGGCAAGGTACCGGCTGCCCCAGCGCACTCCTATAACACGCCGCCTGCCGCCCGCACTGACCTTGTGCGCAGAAATATTGGGACTTGCGTGACGAAGTGGTGGCCGCCGAACAGATCCTGCTGCGAACGCTCGACTTCGATCTCACTTTCATTCATCCGCACAAGTTCCTCCTGAACTACATCAACTCTCTCAATGGTACCCATCGGCTGCTTCTTTTACTCTTACACTCTCTTCTCAAGGCTCACTGATTTCCTTGATGTGGGCACAGGCTCGCAAGCTCTCGCGCAAGTATCCTGGAACCTTACCAACGATCTGTACGCTTCCGCTCCTCCGCAGCCCTCTCTCACATCGACAACGCTATGAACCTCCTGACTCGCTTTATGCAGATACTACACGCCATTGTGCATGCAAAGGAATCATCGACCACAGGTGCTAGCCTGCTCCTCCCTCTACCTCGCTCAATTCATCCTGGAACAGAGCAACATGGAAGTGCCTCAGGTGAGCCCCTCCGCCCGACAGCAACTCCCGTGTCCGAGACTAATCACACACACACACACACACACTTACCTTCACGTGTGCTCCCCAGTCGATGCAACAGTTCCCCTGGTGGGAGGTGTTCGATGCCAAGAAGCAGGATCTCGAGGAGGTGTCGAGCAGCCTGCTCGACAGCCTGCAAACGCTGCAGGCCATCCCCTACGACACGGCCCTCATGGTCTACCAGGAGTACGCCCAGAAGTACTCTCCACCCTCTCCGCTGCAGCTCGCCAAGGCCGCCGCGTAAGTGCCCACAGCGCATGACTCGAGTCGGTCACCACCGAACGGCAAACAGCCATCATAAACGTCCATCGTCAGCTTCCTGTTCGAGTGCTGACGTCCAACTCGTCACCATCACTCCTCGCCGCCAACTTGTGCGTGTCCGTTGCGTTTCTGAGCCACCCCAATTCGTTTGGGTTTGGTGTTGCACAAGGAGGCGCGAACTCCATTCTGCACAAACAAGACGCTCCTCTTGGCTGGGTACGCATCTTCCTCTTGTCTCCCGGCTCAAGCCCCGAGGCTGAAAGGTCCAGATGCACTGATTGCAAATTTGAAATCTAGAGAACGAGACCCAGCAGATTTCCCCGAGATTTGTGTCATCTTACTTGCGTTCAAACTCCTTGTGGGTGCGGGCCGTCCCTTTCTTCCTCTTTCTCTTCCTCTTTCTCTTCCTCTTTCTCTCGATCCAATCTGCATTCTCAACGTTGCGATTTTTGCCGCTGCTCGCTCAATTTAATCTTGCAGTTTCTGCAGACCAGTGACCGCGATCAGAGCTGCAAAAGATGGACATGCCAGTAGATTTAGTGTTGGTCAGGCACGCCGAAAGCGAAGGTTGCCTTGCCCATGAGCGAAGCAAGGTACCGTACAGTCGCTACACAGTGCACACAGTGCCTTCCGGCGCATGAGCAGAGCTGGAGGTTATTAACTTCGCGGTGTGTGTGCATGTGGACAGCATGGAGACGACAGTGACTGGCAGAACCCTGACTTCCGCAACCGACACACCAGCCGCTACCGCCTCTCCGACAAGGGACGCAGCCAGGCCCAGATCGCAGGACAGTGGGTGCGTTCTTCTTCCATTTGTTTCCTGCCACCCCACCTCCTCTGCCCAGTGCCACAGGGTCGCTCACTAAGTGCACTACCTGACGGACGCCATGTGGGCAATTGCAGATCAAGGAGAACGTGTCGAAGAAGTTCGATTGGTACATCTGCAGCGAGTACGTGCGCGCTATGGAAACGGCGGCGCTGCTCGACCTTGACAACGCCCATTGGCACACCGGTACCTTCTTGGCGCGCCCACCCGCACACACCCTAGTACGCTACTTGCCCCGAAACGCAACTCATCACGAGACGTTGAGTGGACATCAGATTTCTTCTTGCGAGAGAGGGACAGAGGTATCCTCAGCAATCTCAGCCGCAGCGAAGTACGCACCCGCCATCAAGAAGAGCTCGCCCGTGAAGAGCTGGACCCCTTCTACCACGCGCCCCCTGGGTACGTCTCTCCTCTTCTCCAGCACTCCACAGACTCCTATGGTATCGAGGGGGGTAGTGACTGACGTTTACTTTGCCATTACGCCAGTGGCGAGTCCATAGCGAGTGTGTGCATGCGCGTTGCGCGAGTGGTCTCGCACCTGCGACAAACCTGCTCGGGCTACAAGGTCTTGCTCGTGTGCCACGGTAACATCATGTGGGGCTTCCGTATCACTCTCGAGAAGTACGTTTTCTGGCTTCGCAAACCCGACAGCAGCAGCCTCGCCAAGCGAGCACTCATTTCACTTCCATTCCGATCGGAATCGCATTAGCATCAAGCAGGCCGAATTCCTCCGCATGATCCAGGACCCCCAGGAGAAGATCCACAACTGCCAGATCCTCCACTACTCGCGACGCAACCCCTACAATGGGATCGTGGAGTCGGACATCAACTGGATGCGCTCCATCTGTACGGCCGCCTACTCCAGCTTTGAGCGCACACCACAACACAACTAAGCTCATACAACGTTCACACGGTTCAGGTCCCTGGGACGAGAAGCCGGACCATTCGACGTGGCATCGCATCGTGCGGCGCACGTTCAACAACACCGACCTGCTGGGCTTGGTGGCCCACATCCCGCAGGCGGTCAACAACCGGCCCGAGGAGATGGACCAGCTCAGCCCCAAGAGGTCGACCACCTTGCCTGCGCTCAGCCAGAAGTCGTCGGCCACCACCAACAACAACGACGGGGAAGGCGCTGATAACCTGGCGAGCGAGCAGGGCAGCAACAACACCAGCCTCAAGGCGGTCAACCAGGACGGAGGTGACAGAGGGCGGCCGCGAAAGTATTCCCTCGCCGAGTACTGACGCTTACGCTTAGAAGGAGGAGATGAAGAAGAAGAAGACGACGACATGTACAGAGAGAAGTGTGGGTTGTTGTCTCGTGAACATGAAGAGGTAAACAACCCAATCAGAGCCCAATCAGAGTAATCAGCCCCCAGCGTTGAGACGGAAAATAAAATGCGATTTTCCCGCACCTTTTCCTGCCTCGCTCCGGATTGGCGGCAGCGAAGAGAAAGAGAGAGGAGGAGGGAGCAAGCACCAACAACAACAGCTCACCAACAGTCAACATCACCACCAACGATGCTCAGTGAGTGCTGTGGCGGAGGTGGCGAGCCTTTGCCGGACGTCAAGCCAGGAGACGGGTGCACCTTCTGCCCCCCTCTGTTTTACTACTCCTGCCGCCCCTGCAATATGTTTTTATTTCTATATACACTTATTGTACATATGATATATATTATGCTATATATATATATATCGCCACACTACACGGCAGACCCAAGTTCAAGGTGATCATGCTGGGCGACTATGGCTGCGGCAAGACCTGCCTCTTGAGCCGGTATCATCTCCTGCCCTCCCACATGAGGGCTCCCTGCCCTGACCCGCGTGTACGTGCGTGTGCGTGTGCTGTGGTGTCTGTGCAGCTTCACAGAGAACACGTTCCCCGAAGAGCACGTCTCGCGCCACATGCAAACGGCGGTGGTGCGTTGCTTGCATGCAGGCCGCTTGCACTCTCTCGAAGACCGCACCTCTCTCACTTAATTATGGTCCGGTTGGCAGGTATCTGCCGATGTGACCGTGGGCCGGGAGTCCGTGCGACTCATCCTTTGGGTACGCGCGCTCGCTTGGTGACGCCACGCATGCGTGTGCGGTTGTGCGTGTGCGTGTGCGGTTGTGCGTGTGCCATGGTTAGTTCGTCGGCGAGTGTTGTCTGGGTCTTCTCCCTCACAACTCTTTATGTGCGAGAACAGGACACGGGAGGTCAGGAAAAGTTTCGATGCCTGACCACATCCTACTATCGCGATGCCATGGCCGCGGTATGTCGTCTCCTTCAATCCCGCAGCAGCACACTTCCCATTTAGTAGCCACATCACATTCACGCAATTGTGATCCACAACATAACCCACCAGATGCTGGTGTACGACATCACCAACCGAGAAAGGTACCCTCTCCTGGCCAACGTTGGGACCACGCTCTTGCTTGGCCTGACCACACGCAACACGCAACACACATACACGCACGCACACGCACACAGCTTCGAGAACATTCAACACTGGCGACAGCAGATCGCCCTCTACGCGTCAACGATTGACATCATCCTCCTGATCGGGACCAAAGTACGTACCAGCCCCGTGACTCCCCTCTCCGGCACGAGCAGCTGTTCAGATCTTCCGCGACTCGTGCTTCCTGCAGGTGGATGCCGCCGCGGAGGAGCGACGGGTGACGCCCGAGGAGGGGCAGGCCCTAGCCGAGACCATGCGAGCACAGTTCGCCGAGACCAGGTGAGCTCCCCACCCCAACCCGAAGGCCGTATTTGCCTTCATTGCCCTGAAGTGTGGCTGTGCGTTTGTGGGGGGGGGGCGTTACGAATTTGCAGCAGCAAGGAGGGGACCAACACGGGCGTGTGCCTGGCCTGGGTGGCAGCCAAGTGCCTCAACAAGTTTCGCGAATGAGCCCTTCACATCACACACCCCCAACCAAGTAACAGTTTTGTCTAACGTGTGTAGGCCACATTTCCAGTCCTTTGTACACTTTTCTTCTTCTTTCCTCTTTCTCGCTCTACACGAACCCCACACACAGAGCTTCCTCATTGTTCAGCTCTTCGCTGCTGTTGTTCCTGGGCGTCGCTGCCACCACCGGCGCCGAGGTCGGGGAAGAGGCCCTCGAGCGAGCCGTTGAAGGGGGCCGACGAGGTGGACGCGGTGAGGAGCGGCGAGAAGCGCAGCGGGGAGGTGCCGCCGGCGGAGAGGGCGTCGAGGAGGGCGTTGGTGCTGGCCGTGAGCGGGATCGAGCAGATGGACGACGTCAGGAACGACTCTGGCGTGGGCGAGGTCGACATCGGCGACACGCCCGTCGCGCTGTTGCGAAGAGACTGGCCCGCGCCCAGCAGCGACTGGTTTGGTATTGGCATCGCGCTGGACGTGCTGACGTCACCTGACGCAGAGCTGGCGGCGGCGGCCGAGGTGCCAAAGAGCCCGCCGCCGCTGCTGGCGCTCTCCGCGGTGGAGCTGAGTGAAGTGGTGGTGACGATGGGCTGCGTGGAGAAGAGCGCGAACGGGGAGAAGGGGGTGGTGGGCGAGTCCATGTTCTCGACGGAGATGAAGGGCATGGCGAAGGAACCCGAAGAGAGAAGCGGGGCGTTGTTCGATGTTGTGGTCGCCGTCGCCGAAGCAGTGGAGGAGGCCGGGTTCAGTTGCGAGGGCGGCGGACCAAACGCAAATGAGAGTGAAGACGGCGACGACGAAGATGACGATGACGTGGACGTCGAGGACGATGAAGAGGTGGAGGAAGATGATGATGATGATGTTGATGGGAGATTATCGGAGCTCGACTTGAGGAAGCTGTTGATGAGCGAATTGGTGGAGAGGGTGAGGGCCGAATCCGTGGAGGCGCTGCGTGGAGAGAAAACACACAAACACAACAGGTGTGAGCGCTTTCGCTCTCTCTCGACGACCGTCAGTCAAGTTTGGGGTGGAGTGGGGGCATACGTGAGAATGCCGCTGGGCGGGAGCACGCCGGTGAGGAGCGAAGAGAGCGAGGAGGTGAGCGGAAGGAAGACTGGCGCCGGCGCGGCAAAAGGTGAAGGCAGCGGTTCATAGCCACCCACCCCTGCGTCGCACACGTGACACGCGACACCGACACACGACACGACACACGTCATTAACCGAGAGGCCGAGTGGCAACTGAGTCGGGTGCAAAGAAAGTGAGGAATACCGCTGAGCGGGTTGAAGGGGGTGAAGGGAAAGGTAAGGGCCATCGAGGAGGAAGGCGCAGAGAAGCTGCCCGAGTCGAGGGTCATGTTCTTGCTCTTCTCGGTGACCTGCGCCTGCTGGCTGACGAGGTAGTTGAAGGCCATGATCTGCTCCTTGATCTTCAGTCGCACCTCGTACGCCCGGAAGAACTCTGGGCTCTTACCCTCCATGCTCTGCCACACTAGTCACAGCACACACACGACACGCACACATACCGCACACAGCACGACACGCACGGTGTGAGGGCATGGGCCACAGGGTGTGTACGGTGAAGGAGCAGACACACGCACCGTGTCGCGTGATGGTGGGTGCGATGTTGGCCTGAATTTGGAGGGCCATGATGACCTCCTCCTGGTTCATGTAGAGGTGGAGGCATCGCTCGATCATGCCCTCGACCTGCTGGACCTCCTGCGGGGAGAGGGGCTTGACCGGCGCCGTGGCGATCGTGTGTGTCGTGGCCACGGGCGACACCGCAATGCTCGGGATGGCGGGCGGCCGCACCGACCTCACCACCGACGACGACGAAGTGGGGGTCGACGGCGACGGCGACGCTGGCTCAGTGGTGGCCTTGGCGCGCCGCTGTCGTTGGCCGCGTCGTGCACGCCCACGCGTGGGCGGTGTCTGTGGTGTGGTGTGGTGGTGTGTGCGTAGCAGCAACACGCGTCAGAGCCGCACACACGGAAAAATATGGCTTTGCGGGGGGGGGGGCACCAGAGGAGCAGAGGGCGGGATGGAGACGGTGAGAGGGAGGATGATGGGCAGAGGCAAAGTTGAATGTGGTGGCTTGGCGGCCAGCGGGCCAGCCGCTGTTGTGGTGGTTGTGCTGCTGCTTCCATGGACGCCGTAACCCTGGGCTTGTAGTACGGGTGCATTGAGCGGGATGATTGGACTCCCTGGCGCTGCATTCAAAGCCATGGTCCCTTCTTGCAGATTGATCGATTCCCCGAAGCCAAGACTTGGAATGAATGCAATTAATCAATCAGAATCGGTAAAATGCTGCCGTTTGTCCCACAACCCGCACGCAACTGCAAGCCGAGAAAAAGGAGGGAACAAAAAAATCACAAGGAAAAAGAACATGGAAGGGTGAAGAGGCTGTTGACGCTGGATGTTGCTTGGTGCCTCAGTGTCTGTTAAAGTATGAGCTTCAGATCTGTGGTTGTCACTACAGATGTACACAACAGTCCCAGGCTTTACAACCCAGTGCACATCCCTATTTTGCTTTCTTATGGACATTTGGAGTTATAAAGGTGTCAGGAGACCACACATGCCTGTGCATCATGGTGGTGGGGCAGCACTACACAGGAAACAATTTCAGGCCCTCACAGTGACCGTGTTTACGTCCATCTTTGCCTCAACTGGTTGCTGGGCCTCAGAATCCGGGAAATTAGGGGACACGAGGGGGGGTTTCTCTTGGCTTCTGTCATCTTTCCAGAGTACAAGTGGTGGAGCAGTACTACCTGCTGTGATCGAGGTGATTCCGTGGTGCTGGACGAAGAAACGACCGCCCTCCACCTCTACGCCACGCAAATCTCCTTTCCATTCACCCTTACCTCTCCATTCGGATTGCCGCTACCCGCGCGCCCATCCGCGAAACTGCATCGTTGCACGAGGACGCCCCCAGCACCACCTCCACCAGAACCGCCTCAGCCGCGTCTTCATCACCAACTACGGCTCTCTCCACTCGCACATCGGCATCGTCAAGGGTCTTCCACCACTCGCTCGATCACAATCACACAGAGAGGGGACCAATGCATGAAGGTTCAGAGGACTTCTCGGAAGATCAGGAGAGCGAAAATGATCTCACATGGAAGATTAAGGATACCGAGATCACGTATCGAACGAAATCGCCCAAAACCGTTAATCAGTACCTGCTCGGCGAGGTGCTGGGCAAGGGATCTTACGGCAAAGTGAGAGAGGCGCTCGACACGAACACCATGAAGACGGTCGCGATCAAGATCATCACGAAATCGCAGCTGAGGAAGCTTCCTGGTGGAGGGGAAGCATCCGTTCGACAGGAGATCGCGCTCATGAAGAGGCTCAAGCCACACCCGAACATCGTCACCCTCATCGATTCCTTTGCCAATGAGGAGAAAGGGAAACTATATCCTCTTCCAACCCTCCCTCAATCTTCTATCTCTTCTATCTCTCATCGCTTGCTCCATCTCTATCATTATCTTCCTTAACCTGCACAAATTTATAGTCTTAGACTACGTTGGCGGCGGGACGTTGCAGGATCTGCTAAATCGAGCCCCAGACTGCTGTCTGCCTCTAAGACAGGCCCAAAGGTACTTCCCAATTCCTCAGTTCTCATTCCTCAATTCCGCAGGAATCAATAATCATTCCTCATTCCCATTAAATGGCATTTAATACTAATTCAATTTGTTTGTGCAGCTACTTCCGCGATCTAGTGAGAGGGCTCCAGTTTTTGCACGGGGAAGGGATTGTACATAGAGACATCAAGCCGGGCAACCTCATGCTGACGCTGAACGGGAGCCTCAAGATCTCGGATTTTGGAGTGGCAGAGCTGCTGCAATCGTTCGACGATCCGTCCTACTCGCCCAAGTCCCAAGGCTCCCCCGCCTTCCAACCGCCCGAAGTCGCCTCCGGTGCCGAACGCTTCTCTGGCGTGAAGGGCGACATCTGGGCTGCAGGCATCACCCTGTACGCCACACCTTCTCCTTCCTCCTTGCACGTCGTGTTCAAGCGCTAATCATTTTGATCGTCGATCATCATCATCATCATCAATGCTGCTGTGTTGTGCGTTGACGCACATATACGTGTATAGGTACTATGTCGTGACGGGGCGGTATCCATTCGAGGGGTCCACCGTCTACACGCTATTTGAAAACATCGCCAAGGCCGAGTACCAGATCCCACCGTCTTTAGACCCCGACCTGGTCGAACTCATACGAGGCATGCTCCACCCGGACAAGAACAAACGTTTCTCGCTCGACGCCATCAGCTCTCATAAGTACCTTCCTTCTCCCTCTTCATCTCCTTCTTTTCGTGCATGCACCATGGCGTACACGCGTGTTTTGTATGTGTGCGGCGTGTTGCGTGTCGTGCATGCACTCGACTAACTCGTGATGCGGTTTTGTTCATGAAGGTGGATGCTGGCGAACGTGGAAAGCGAAGAAGAGTACCTGGAGATCGTGCCAAGTCGGACGCTCTTCACGCCAGAGTTCGTCGCGGAGATGAGCGCCATCAACGACGAGGGCATCCACAACGAGAACTCGGGCAGACGCAGCCCGCGAGGAGGCAAGAGCAGTCTTCGCCCCACCAAGAGAGGACACCGCCGCAACTGCTGTATACTTGTATAGTATCAACCCAAATCACCAACCAACCAACCACACCCACCACCATCGTGCACGCTCAACACATGGGCTTCTTCACCTCTTGGTCTGCATTGCATCTGTTGAAGCGGAACGAGAAGATGTGATGTATTGTGGTGTGGAGGTGCAGGTTTCGGACCGCTACTTGAGGAGGCGAGGGAACTGCTTGCCGGCGACGTAGCCGCCCTGGAGCGCTTGCTTGACGTTACGCTCAAAGTCTCGCGGCCGATCGATCATCAGCTGCGCCGCCTCCTTGTTCAACGGATCATCGGGGTTGGGTTCCTGCAATGCAGGGTAGAAGGTGAGAAAGGAAGAACTTGAAGTTCTCACGAGGGAGTGAAAGACATTGGGAGAAGAAGAGGCGAACCAGGAAGAGGGTCATCAGCCCAAAGATGACAGAGCCCAAGCTGAGCACGGGCATCCAATCGGCACGGAGGATGTTGAGGCAGACGTGGCCCTCGAGGTCGATGTTGGGGTGATACACCTGAGCCGTACGGACACCAGCTTGAGAAAGATGCACCAAACTCGCTCGTGCAGCAAGGCCAAGGCGTGCAACAGTGTAAGCATGCGTGCAACGGTACCATGGTGGTGCATGTCGCTTTGGGAGGCTCATAGGGGTAGTTGTGAGGGATGTCGAGATCGAAAGAGAAGGTGGCGCCCTGATACAGACCATCGGTGGGCGTGACCTTTACCTTCAGCTTCATGATGTTATCCACCTCTGGCAGGTCCACTTCCGTGCCCGGCACGGGATCCATCTCAGCCAGATCTAATCAATAAAAGAAATCAAAGATCAATACGTGAGGTTGTGGCACGTGCAAAGCGTGCGAACCTTTCTGCACTCGAAGCTCGACTGCATTCTGCCTCTTCTTATTCCTGCCTCCAGCCTTGGAGAGGGACATGACGCCCTCCTCCTTCTTGCCGGAGGATGCCTTGTACTTGGCCATCAGTGATGCAGCCGCGTGCGGGGTAGTCGACGTCGATTTCGTCTCCCCATTCGTTGCCGGCTCCGTTGCTGCCGCATCTCCTCCATTCGTGGCGGCAGCTGCCGCCTCTTGCTCGACCGCCTTGGCCTGCTGCGCCGCCTGCTTCTGCTGCTGGAGCTGCTTGAGCTTCAGCATCGTTGATGATGTTTTGTGTAAATGTGATTTGCACCTTTTTTTGCCTTTTGTTTTGCGTTTTCTGTGATTAGGACTTTTTTCCACACCATCTGGCGTGCCTGTCGTGTGGAGGAAGAGACGAGCCAACCCACGTTGGCACTGATGATGGACAGCATCGTGCTTGGTTTATTATCCCTCCCATCAAGCACACCCACGCTACCGCTTTCCAAGCTGGCTCGCTCAGTTGCCCTGGGCATAGCTGTGCTCCTGGTAGAGCACGCCCATGTTGAAGTTGACCACACGACCCGGCCGTCTGTTGGTGGGGCACTCCACATCGCCAGTGTCGTGGATGTCGAATTCAGGGACTCCACACCCGCACACACCTGACCACCCACACTCCACCATCAGCCATTAACTTGTCACAACCTCGAAAGACGCTTCACGTACCAGGGCTGACCTTCTTGGGGTCATCTGGACACTTATCGCAGGGCGTCTGCTCGATCTGGTTACATCCGCAGACACCCGGCTCTGTCTTGTCCTCATCATGGGGGCAATCTGTGTCATTTCATGGAGAGGGTGTGGTGAGTCGGCGTTCAAGCTTCTTGCTCGCCTGCTCCAACTTGGGGCTTGCTGGGCGTACTGTCCAGGCAGTCAAGAACGCCATCGTGGTCGGTGTCGGCGTCCAGGATGCCGCATCCACAGACGCCGGGCGAGGTCTTCCTAAAGTCCATCGGGCAGTCGTCCTTGCAATCAAGGAACCCATCGCCGTCGGTGTCCACGTCCGCAACCGCGCAGCCGCACACGCCTAAACGCGGTCGTAAAGAGGTCATTAGCGCGCTAGAGGTGGTCACCGCTCGTCAGAGAGAACGCACCGGGAACGGTCTTGGCGTTGTTATCGGGGCAGAGGTCGCACACATCTGCCTCCGGCACACCACATCCACAGTTGCCGGGCACAGTCTTCAATGGATCATCTGGGCACTGAGAAGGGGAAGTTAACACTCTATGAGTTGAGGGGGGGCAAGATTGACGAGATGTACCAAGTCCTTGAGGGTGAAGGAAATCGTCAGATATATGCAGGTTAGTATGACATTGGAAAAAATCACTTCTCCACATCGTTCAACAGAAAAAGCTGGCCACGGTCACGTACCTCCGCCAAAACGCAGGAAGCGCATAGGGCCACGAACAGAAAAAGAAGGGAGGCCCTGGTAATGTGGGCGGCCATGTTGATTTCAGAACGATGCCTTTCTTCTCTGGCCTCCCAAGAACACAAACGAAGGGGCACACCCCCGTTTTTGTTACTTGCATTTGGGAATTTTAGTCAGCCAAGCCAAGCCAAAAAAAAAATAAAAAATGTAATAAAAAAAAGAAAAAGAAGATGGGGTTGGCGGAGAAGGTCGCGCGGCGTGTCTGATCCTGCTATGGGTGTGGTGTCTGGCAAGCAGGCCAAGTAGTGGTGGGTATGTCGGAGGAGTGCCTTGCTCTGCGGTATGAGCCGCCAAGGCCCGTGCCTCTCGGTTGAAGTGTCGGGTGGGTGCTGCAGCGGACCGACGAGGGCCATGGAGGCCTCGTGGCCGACGTTGGGTTGAGTGCAGTGGTGCGCTCGGGGATGTAAGGTTGTTGTCACGATGAGAACATTTGTCGAAGTAACACGCTCGACTTGGAGTGGCTCTCCCGAGTGGATGTTTGGGGAGCTGAGGAAGCGCTGCACGTTCCCTAAGGACAGTGCCAGTCGCTTCAGCCACGCTTCTGCCGCCAGCCCCACATCTGCAAGCTCACCGACCACCCCGTTGTACGGCGCCGTCGCGTGCTGTGCGTCTGCGTGTGGGATTGGCCCAGAATAAACGCCGAACGAGTTTACAACAAATCAGGAATGTGAAGAACGCGTTGGGGGCAACAGGGCTGGCCCAGGCGTGGTTCACGTGGCTTAGGTGAAGTAGGAGGAGAGGGTCTCCTTGGGCAGGACGTGGATCTGCCTGGCCGAGTGCAGGCACCTCACTTGCGCCATGGGCACGCCGTGGATCGTCACCGCGGGCACCGGAAGATAGCCCGGGCTGATAGGCAGCAGCTTGAACTGATACGTCCGCCGCTCTCCGACCTTGGAGGAGCAAAGTCTCAGTTTCTAGACCTGTTTGTTTCGGAGGAGAATGAGACGTACGGCCAATGTGAAGCGAGCCTTCTTGAGACCGAGGACGAGCCAGGGCTCCTTGGGGAGCACCTCGTACGCCAGGCCCTGTACAGTGTGTTGCGTAGTGAACATCATTTGGTTTGCTCTTGGGAGTGAGTAGAAGAGTCGATTCGATTCGATTACCTCATCTTTGGACGAGGAGGAAGCCAGGCGGATGATGTGGAGCGTCACAGGAATCACGTTCCCCACAACCCCACTGTCGGCGTACTCCATCTGGACCTCGTACAGGTGCTGCGGCGGCGGCCGGCGGAGGGAGTTAGCGATTGAGCTAGGCTTGACCGTGTCGGCGTGTCGGCGACCTTGGGCAGGTCGAGCGAGATGGGGCAGGTGAACGCCAGAGGCAACGATTCGTCTGAGCCCTCCAACTGGTAGTTGATATCCAGCTGGCTGTCCTCAGTCGCTTCTTCGCCACCACCACCGGCTGACTCGACCTGAAACACCAACGACAGCTCCTGGTCGTTGATGACAGTCTGCCCCACCTGCAGTGATGGCCGGGTGTGTGTTATCGATTGCAGGTGAGCTCGGGCAACCGCACACGCAGCGTGGCGGCGGCGGTGCAAACCAGCATAGTGTTGGCTTCGTGGATGAGCCGGTGGCTGGGAGCGCAGCGGAGGCGGTAGTCCAGCAATCGCGTCCACCCGACCTGGCAGCGAAGCACCACCTGTACGAACAGCCTGTGGGGCCGAATACCCAGTGAGAACCGACTGAACGAGCGAGCGACGAGGCGGAGGCGGAAAAAGAGTACCGAGGCCCGAAGGGGACCACAAAGGTCTTGGGCGAGAAGGGATGGACGAAGTAGAAGGCGCTGGAGACCGTTGCGTCCATCTTCTCGCCGCTCATTCGCCGGTACGCGAGTCGAGCAGTCACCTTCAGAAGCAACAACATTAGTTACTTTGTGTCGTGCGTGCCGCGCGTTTCACAGCACAGCGCCTGTGTCGCACCTGGTGGTTGAATCCGGTGTTGGGCGGCGCGAGCGCGCTGAACGACAGATGCACAGTGGACTGCTCCTCACACGGCGGAAGCCGCAACTCGTTAGACTCCTCCCGGAGCTGCTTGAGTCGACAGGGTGGAAGAATGGAAGGTACAGTTAAAAAAGGCGGAGAGCGCACTGATTCATGCGCGAGCGTGGTGCGGGCATACCTGGACGCTGATCTCCCTCTTTTCGCCGTTGGCCGACTTGACGGTGGCCGTGACGGGCGACGAGAGGAGCTGGAGGGTGGCCGAGGAGAAGACCACCGACGCGTCCGCGAAGGAGTCCTGCTTGGTGTGCAGCGTCAGCAGCAGAGTCTGCGGATAGCCGACCAGCAGGTAGGGCGACTGCTGTGCGATTCCCATCTGCAGGGACCTGTGGCACCATCGTCACACCCGTGCGAGTTGGCGATGTGACGTCAGTCGATGCTCATCGAGTTGTCAAGTGTCACTGACATGTTGTTGTTGTTGTTGTTGTTGTTGTTGTTGTTGTTGTTGTTGTTGTTGTTGTTGTTGTTGTTGTTGTTGGTACCACCTTTCATTCTCCTGGACCGCTACTTCGATCCGCTCCTTGTCGGGCACGCCGTCAAAGTAATCGGTCAGCCGGAGCTGACCAATGACGGCCTCAATCGCTCTGAGCTTGAATTTGCCCTTCTTGTCCACCTGCAGGCGGAGGTCACCACCATCACCATCACCATCACCCACATACACACGCGAAGAGGTAAGCCCAACTGGAGCGACGCCAATGGAGAGCGAGGCCGGCCGTGCCCTAGTCGACAGCGTGAACTTGTTGACGCCCGGCGACAGGCACACATCGCTCTGCGCGAGTACGATGGCGTCGGCGGCCCGCGCAGCATCTCCGATATCGTGGGAGTTCTTTATATCGTATAGTTCGCAACACGCTGATGAGCGCAGTCCGTGGCCAAAACTGTTGAACTCCACACGGGGTTGAAAGGAAGAAGGACGTACGAGTATGGATCGAGTGCGCCTGTGCCCGACGGGTGAAGAGAGGGCGGGGGCCTTGGGCGCGGAGAGAACGCGCGGCGAAGGCAGCGGCGCGCCCGGCGAGGGCTGGGCGGAAGCGGCAGCCGTAGCCGCGGCCGCGGCCGCAGCGGCCTTTGCCGCCTCCTCCTGGTCCACAAACGCCGCCCGCAGCCCCTGAAACACCACCTGTGCTCCCAACAAACAGCAAAATCAGCCGAAGTCCGTCTTGCGCCTTTCTTAAAAATATAATAAAAGAAAAAGATGTCGTGTTGGGTACGTACCGGTGAGGGGAGGCTCGACTCGATCACAAAGTCGAGGGACAGGGTCTGTCCCAGGGTGAACGACTGCTGGCTGACCGTGAGCGCGGTGACCCGCAGCACCTGGCGCATGCTCAGCTCCGAGCCCGGCGGGATGTGGTGGTGAGCCACGGCACAGAGGCGCTTGAGGTGGGCCTCCTTGTCTTCGCGCGTGCTTCGCGACTCGAAGGAGAGGAGGACGAGCGCCGACGTGAGGAAGCCGGCGTAGTCCCGCAGGTGCAGCTGGCAGTGGGCGAGCTTGGCATGGATGGTGTTGTCGAGCAGCAGCCACCGTTCCTTCGCATACCGCTGGGACAGCGACTTGTACATGGCCTCGGCCTTCGCGTAGTCGCCCCTCACACTTGATACCGCACGCACACGACACACACCGCACACGCACACGCGATAAGTCCAGGCACGGCCGAGCAATGAAGTAAGTACTAGTGGGCAGAAGGTACAGGAACAGGTTGGCGATCTCCTCCTTGACGTGTTGCTTGAGCCTCTTGCGCATGGATGTCTTGTAGAAGCGCACTGCCTGCATACTCACATCCTGCAGCGCGTAGTGGCAAAGAGGCGAGACCCGGTGGGTGAGCACATGTGTGGCAGGGCGACCACACGCTTGGGGGGGGGCAAATGATATGAATCGCACCATATAGAGCTGGTCGAACTCTTTCTGCGAACGAAGCGCGCGGTTGAGACTGGCGTTGGTGATGCCCGGCGCGCGAGGAGGAATAGCCATGTCGTCCTTGCCGTTGTTGTCGCCCTCGCCTTCTTTCTCCACGCCGTCATCGTCCTATTCAAGGGAATGGGCTCCGTGTGAATTGAACTGCGGCGAATTGCGACTTTTCTTGGGGAGATCGCAGCGACCCACGCCTGTGCGCACACAGTGAAGGGGAACATGGCGTACTGTAGGTGGTGCTTCTTGTTCGCCGGGGTTGGCGGTCTCCTCAGCTGCAGAACTCGACGACGACGACGACGACGACGACGACGACGACGAAGCGGAGGAGTCATCCACGGCCCCGGGGTCGGGCGGCAGAACGAGCGGCGCCTTGTCGTCGAAGAGCCCATGCAGCTTGCCCAGCTCCTTCAGCTTTGTTCGCGCGTAGTTGCTCAAATCGCCCAACGCTGCCGACAGCATGAAAAAGTCCGATGCCTGCACATAGCGCAGCCCACGCCGCCCCAAGGTACTCAACCGTCAGCTGCGCACGCGCAGGTTGGAGGGGCGGAGAGGGAACAAAGACCTGTGGGTTGAGTTCCTTGGGCTGTTGGCTCTTCTCGGCAAAGTCTCCGAACTTCATGGCTTTGGCGGCCTCCTGGCACGCGTCGACTACACACAAGCACGCGGAGAACACCCACGATATCGAAAAGTTGCGTGTCTCCTGGGTTGGAGAAGCCGGGGTGAGTTCGCCGAAGAGTTCGGGACGTGACGACATTATTGGGTACCTCGCTGGCGGGCGTTTTCTTCTTCTGGAGGTCTCGAGACAGCATTTGGATGAAGAGGACCGCGTTGGAGGCCACATCCCACGGCCGATGGAGCATGAAACGCAACTGCAGTTTTTCGGAAAGACGACTCAATTTAAACACCGATGTCATCGGCGAAGCAGCCACCACCACTGGGCACACACGCTTACCTCGGACTGGCGCGCAAACACGTATTTCCTGAAGTCGAACTCGGAGATGGCATTTTCGAAGATGAGCTTGCGGTAGTCTTTCACAGTCACGTCGAGCACGGACGACCTGAGAGACAAAGTAAGAAAAAGAAGAAACGACGGGTGTGAGCAACAAAGCCTCCCAAAGGCCTTCATTGTGGTGGGGGAGGAGTGTCGCACTTGTCGGAGCCTGATTCGCCGCCGAACTTGTCCATGGTGGGGAGCTTGGCGGGCGCCTGGCGCCCAAGAGAAGAAGAGGACCGCGACCTCGAATCCCTCCTGTACCAGCAGAAAAACAACGGAGCAAGCAAATGGTTCGTCAAAGCCCACTCGCACACGCATGCACGCGCACACACGCGTGGAGGAGGTGGCTAACCTGGCTTCGCGGTCACCGGGCCGGTGATGGACGGCCCTGCCCTCGCTCTGGGAGAAGCTGCGATTCTTGGCGGCCGTCTTGAGTGCTGCTGCCGCTGCCGGCGGTGGACTCTCGGTCGTCGTCGGCGACGACGACGCAACAACGGTCGCCGCTGTCTCCGTGCGTCGAAGCGAAGACGGAGACGACGTGGGCGAGCCCGAACTCCCGCTGCCGGTGCCGCTGATGTTGAGGCTCGATCTTCGCATGCTCGACGGTGAGGCCGGTGCGGATACGCTCTCTGCGCTCGAGCACACATTGTGGGTGAGGGCACTGCCCACAGAGAGCCAGCCCTACCGACCAAGATAGCGTCACGTACTGTCGACATCGCTGGCGCTGGTCATTTCTGGCGAGCTGCCGGCAGATTGGGTTTCAGGCGTCTCGTCGCTGGTGGGCCTGTCCCGGCGCTCGAGTCCATTCAGCTGGTAGAACTGGTCCTCCAGCTCCTCGTAGAGTGTGAGCGCCTCCTCGAGCATGTTGGCTCGCACAAACGTGAACGCCAGCGCTTCCTAATGACAACGGCAGAGATCAGCACAAACCAAGACATGATGATGGAGAGGGCCTGCCCGGCGCAAACCTTGGCAGCGAAGAAGTTGCAATAGTTCCAGCCGGGGATGGCGCGACTCTCGTAGAGCTTGTCCACTTCGGCCTGATAAAAGTTGATCTGTTTGCCGAGGCTGTTGCCCACGCAAACCCTCAGCTTTCGGGTGAACTCGTCCAGTCCTTCCTTGTCTCCTCCCTCTGCGTCCGGGAGCTTCATCTCCACGCATCGCTCGAACCCTGATAAATTGTAACACCACACACACACACACACAGGAGTTATTCGTTGAGGACCCTGGGGATTCATCAAAATGCGGGTGCACGCTCACCATCGCGCTTGGTGTCGTAGGTGATGCGGTTGATCTTGCGAAACATGTCCTTCCGGACGGGCACCTTGCCCACGTGAAGCAGCAACAGGAGCCATTCCTGGGAATGATAACCATCAACGCGGCCACGAGAGAGATTGAGCGCATGTGAGTACTCCCAGGCATGTGGTCGACTCGCACGTTCAGCTAAAGAGGGAAAGAACCTGCTGTTTGTCTTGCATGGTTGCAATCCAGTTCTTGATCGAGGGCCGCTGTGCGCCATACGTGTCACCCTCCTGTCCTCGCCAACCCAGCTCACGATCAGCGACGAACCAGCAACGAGCGATAGCACACCACTGGGCAGGCACAAGCTGACCTTGCAGATGGCAACGTAGAGGTAGACGTAGGGCCAGCGGAACTTGTTGACTGGGAGGGGAGCGCTGTCGAACTGCTCGTGAGGCACGAAGCGCACCTCGGGCTCGGCCTTGCCCTCCATTCCCTCCCCAGCCACCTCGGTAGCGGTGGGCGTGGGCAGCCGCCATTTGACGCCCTTGAGTATGAGGCCGCGTGTGGTCGCAGCAGAGGCACCGGGCTGGGAGGACGAAAAGGCAGAGGGCGAGGGTGGTGGCTGTGCCTCGTTCACAAACACCTCCTTTGCCACCCGCTCCCATGCGGCATCTTCTTCTTGCACTGCCCAAAACCACAACGTGACATCAGCACGCATGGCACGCATTCGCTTCGATTCTTACGCGCAATGAGGAAAAGATCACGCAGATGCTTGAATACAAGGGCAGAAGGGGAACCTGATATAAAGATCGGCAAGTATTGGTTCATTTCATCGATTGGCGACGTCAATTGTTGAACTTTTGTTATGTTTTGTTTTTTTTTTTTTTTGGTTTTTGTTTGCCTGAGCGAGATTCCTTAGCTTGGAATGTGAGGCAGGTCAACGCTGGTCGTTGTACGCGTGGTAAAGAGAAACAAGGGAGAAAAGGTTAAAATAATACATTTTGATTTTTGTGATCGCACAAAAAAGATGGCAGCCAAGGCTCTGGAGCCGCTCTTTGCTGAGCTTGATGATTTTATCAAGGATGGTGACTGGGGGCAGGCACTTGCCGCGTCCGAGAAGAGTACGATCATCGCCCCCAAACAGTGAAACTCCAATTGGCTCGTTGATCCACCATTTAATTTGCGTTAATTGAGCCTGATCTTTCTGCACCACAGTCTTGAAGATCGCGCCCGACGATGCCGACGCTTTTGCTTGCCAGATTGGATGCTTGTTGCAACTGAGCGAATTCGATAAGACGCTTGCGCTCCTCAAGACGCACGGCGAGGACAAGTTCCTGTTCGAGCGTGCCTACTGCTTCTACCGCCTCAAGCGCTACCCCGAGGCCCTCAAGCTCCTCGAATCGCACCCCCAGCCCAAACCCACTCGTATTCTCGAGCTCGAGGCTCAAGTGGTACCACCTCCATCCGCGCTTTCCATCTTCTTCTTTCGCGAATCTGCCCCACAGTCAGGCCGGCCCTAAGCTGCTACTCGTCTACGCGTGTCTCTACAGAGGTACGCCCTGGAGGACTACAACAAGGCCGTCGCCCTCTATGAGCAGCTGGTGAGCAACTCGAAGGAGCCGGCGCCCGAGCTCAAGACCAACTACCTGGCCGCGCTCTCCCTGGCCAACGCCACCGACCAGGCGCTCACCTACATCTCCAAGCACCAGGCACGAGGCCTCACCTTCTTTCCTTCGTCTTCACCACTTTGCTCCGCTCTGCCGCGAGAGAGTCTCTGGCTCACAAACCCCTCGCCACTGCTGTGTTGCAGGAGGCCGTTGACAAGACGTTCGAGTTTGCGTACAACGCCGCGTGCTCGTACATCGCCGTGGGCGACCTCAGCACTGCCGAGAAGGAGCTCAAGCTGTCGGAGAGTACGTACTCTCATTTTGTTTCTATCCACAGCTCTCCACAGCGTAGCCGCTCGATGAATGATTACACTACGCCGGCCTGTACTGACATCTGCAATGGGATTGCGGTCTCTGCGCAGAGCTCTGTCGTGAGACGTTCACCGGCGAGGACTTCACCGAGGAGGATCTCAACAACGAAATCGCGGTCGTGCTGGTCCAGCTGGGCTTCGTCTACCAGCAGCAGGGCAAGAACGAGGACGCGCTGAACCTCTACACCGCCGCCCTCAAGAGCAAGTATGTAGCGACCGACGTTATTATACTACGACCTACAGCGCGCTAACGGTTGCGTGCTTGTGTGTGTGGTGTGTGTGTCGACAAACAAAACAGGCCGTCGGACGACATGGTATCGGCCGTGGCGTCGAACAACATCGTCGCGATGAACAAGGACAAGGATCTCTTCGATTCGGAGAAGAGGCTGAAGGCGGCCACCAACGACAAGGTCCAGTTGAAGCTCACCAGCGCGCAGAAGCAGATCATCGACTTCAACCAGTGCCTGCTCCTCCTCTACATGAACAAGGTATACCTGCCGTTGGCTCTCTCTCGCGTCTATCCATGTGTCGAGCCGTGACACACACACACACACACACACAACGTACTCACTTACTCCCCCGGTATTTGTGCTGTGCAGTCCAAGCAGTGCACGGAGCTCGTCCAGTCGCTCCGCGAACGTTTTCCGGACAGCCCCATGCTGTCCCTCATTCTCGCCTCGCTTCTCTTCCGCACCAAGAAGATCAAGGAGAGCGAGGACCTGCTCAAGGAGGAGATCCAGAAGCACCCCGACAGCGACAAGAACGTGAAGCTGCTGCTGAGCCTGGCCCAGATCCACCTGTCCAAGCCCCAGCGCGATCTGGCCGAGGTGATCAGCATCCTGGGCTCGATCCCGTCGCTGCGCAACAAGCCCGGCGTGGCGTCGCTCCTGGTCCTGCTCTACGAGCACCTCGGCGACACCGCCGCGGCCGTCAAGGTGCTCGACCAGTGCGCCTCGGTCTACGCCAACCAGAAGCAGCTGAGCGAGAAGCAGAAGAGGGAGTACGTCGCCATTCTCAAGGCTGCCGGCGAGTTCAAGAAGAAGTACGGACTGCACGAGCAGGCCGCCGCCTCGTACAAGGCCCTGCTCAAGCTCAACCGCGATGACGTCGACTCTCTTTACAGTACGTCAGGCCGCGCGTTACCCAATGCATACGTGCATGGCCATGCACTAACCATCGGTGTGCGTGTGCGTTCAGACCTGGTGCTGATGGCTGCGGAGGTCGACCCGCAGCAGGCCGAGGAGTACGCCTCGCGCATTCCCGCCATCAAGCCCGACTCAACTATCAGCGCCGAGGCCCTGGAGAACCTGCCTGCGCCCACCCTGTCCGCCATCAAGCGGAAGGAGGAGCGAGAGGGCGGTACGCAACACATACGCATGCACACGCACGACGGTGACCCGGTGCTCACACGCTGGTTGGTTGGTGGTGCAGGCGCGGAGGCCAAGGCTGCTAAGGCGGTCAAGGCAGGCGGCAGCTCGGCAGCGGCCAAGAAAAAGAAGAAGAGGAAGCCCCTCCTCCCCAAGAACCACGACCCCACCTCCAAGCCCGACCCCGAGAGGTGGCTCCCCAAGAAGGAGCGCTCCTACTACCGACCCCGTACGTGCCTTGCCCCCCCCCCGCACACGCACCACCGCACACGCACGCGCGCGGTCACGATTGACCAACACCACCGGTTTGTGTGGTGACACAGGCCGCGGCGCCAAGGAGTCAGTGAGGCGAGGCGCGCAGGGCTCGGCTTCTGCGTCGACCAGGCCGACTGCCACCTCGACTTCGACCTCGACCTCGACCACCGCCGCAACGCCCGCGCCCGCGCCCGCAGCAGGAGCCCAGCCGCAGGGCAAGAAGCAGCCGCAGGGCAAGCAGCAGCAACAGAGGAAGAAGAAGGGAAGGAGGTAGACCCACCACACACGTGCTCCATGACTTGTCTAGTCCACAAAAAGAACGCGTGCGTTGTTGTTCATCACGTGGTGTGTCATCATACTCTCGTCACCACACGAACGGGATGACACCCTTGCGTGTCTTGGGGTAGTCGTTGAACTTCTTCTGGTACCACTGGTGATGCTGCACGCCGCGCGGACCCGTGTTGCTGAAGGTGAAGAAGGCGAAGGCGAAGGCCACCACCGACCACGAGGCCAGCGCGAAGCCCGTCCACTCGAGGATCTCGCCAAAGAAGTTGGCGCCCGACACGTACTCGAACATGCCTCCCCTCGGGATCTTGTACGCCGTCTCGCCTGCTCCCACCCATGAGGACACTGGTGTGTATTGTGTGTGTGGTGTGTGTGTCGTGTGTGTGTCGTGTGTTACGAACCAGGCTTACGAAGATTGCGGAGAATGGAGTCGGCTTGGATGTTGATGAACATGCCAGCGAAGAAGAGGACGATGCCCACGATGAATCGCGGATCGTAGACCCAGTCGTCGGCATACACCGCGTAGCGCGTGTGGTAGCGTCCCTACACCGACCACAGCCGTCAGTGCGTCAGCGTGCGTTGCCGGTGGGGACATTGACGTGAGCACCCAGGTACCTGCATGTAGCCGTTGCCGAGGCAGAAGACAAAGGCCATGAGGACGAGGACGGCCGGGGTGGGCTTGCCTCCGCGTATGAGGAAGGGGAACACGAACGATCGCTGGATGTAGTGCACCAAAAACAGACCCACCAGCACGCAGTTCACGAGCCCTGCCAGGCTTGCCTCGCTTCCTGCGCCAGCAACAAGGAATCAAGATCAAGATTCGAGGCCAAAATGGGTGGAGGTGGCAAATTACCGAAGAGGAGGCAGATGAGGGGAACGAAGACGGAGGGGCACTCCTGAAGCATCCAGGCGAGGCGGGCCGGTACGGGCGGGCCGTACATGTTGCCCGCCTCGTGACTGTAGCGGCCGTACGGCGCGCGGGTGGCCTGCGACGCCACAAAGGTGACCAAGCCACTGCCGATCATAATGTAGCCTGCCCACTGCAGGAACGTCTCTTCATCTATGCCCAACCACGGCACCATCACCGGTCCACTCGCAGCCTCTGCCGCCATTTGGTGAGATTGAAGAAGAGAAAATGAGCTGCCAAGCGAACAACGCCACTTTGTTTCCACAAAGGCAAAGGAAACGAGAGAATGACGCACCCACTCGTGTTGGGCGATCATCACACGTTTGCCACCTTCACATCTTGGTGCAACCACCACGACGCCTGCGTGCTTGGTGCGGTCGAGCCGCTGGGTCCACCCAGGCCAGCCCAGTCGTGGAACAGCGTGTTGGGGTGCGTAGGTCAAGTGGCTCCTTCGTTTAGTAACATAGTGGTTAATGTCCAAGGGGCAACCCTTGGTTCGTGGGTTCGAATCCCACCCAAACGCCCATCTCCGCCACTGACGCGGTCACCCACACTTTTTGCATCGGTCAGAACGAAGGCCATCACCGTAGACCTCGTGTAGTTGCGAGGCCGGCGACAGCGCCGTGAACAGTTTTGGGGCGCGGGAGCGATGTATCGAGGTGCGAAGACCGGTGGCGGGAATAGTGTCGGCAGATAGCGAGCCAGCAGCACGATCCAGGACCAACTGTGGACCTGGTTTTCGCCTCTTTGGCCTCTTTCTTTTTGATGGTGGACTACTCTCAGTGACTGCCCAGGGAAGAGCTGTTTAATGGTGAGATCCTGTTGGAGCAGGATTATGTGTGGTAGTGGAATAGAGTGTATTTAGTGTAGTGTAGGAATGAGAGAGATAGAGAGTGAATAAAACAGAAGAACAAAGTGTTCATTTAATGGTTCTCTGGATCGTCTTGATTGGTTGTACAGCTCTTGTCTGAAGGAGTTTGGAGTTGTTTGTTGTTCCATCACGTGTTGAAGTGGTCGTGGCCATCATCGTCATCATCATTGGGATGGAAGGTGAAGGCCAGCGGGAAGGGGTCGACGCGACACACGCGGGTGCGGATGAAGGTGGTGAGCTTCTGGAGCGAGGGGTAGATGCTGCCCAACGACGCCGGATCCCTTTCCAGCGAGTAACCAGCCTAGCACGAGAGAAAGAGCAGTTCAGGTCAGCATTGCCACTCGTGTGTGTGTGTGTGTGCTGTGTGTGCATACTTTGTATCCACTCTTGACGCGATAAATGGCCACTCCTCCATTCTCTCGGATTGTGCAACGCGCTGAACCTGTCGTGTGCCCTAGGGAGTGAGTTGGGCGGATTCATGGGTGTGCACACGCGCCCGCCAGTTCTCAGTGGTCAGTGCGTCACATGCGTGTGGCGGTACGTACATAGCGGGTGGAGCACACGGGAGGACAGGGTCTCAGGATCCGTGATGAAGTGAAACACGTTTGGCTCCTCCGTGCTGTATTCGATGTGGTACGATCGAGAAGGGGAACAGAAGGTGGCCTGGGCTTGATTTTTCCAGGGCACGTTCAACCCAACAACGCGTGGCTCGCTCTCAACCGTCAACTGTCAACATCAAGGGGGGGAGGAACGCATCACAAGTTTGAGTCGTGTGCAGTGCAAGTCATTTCGGTCGTTATCATCGTGTACCAGAACGTGGTCGAAGTAATATTTGAGCTTCCAATCGATGTCGCTAGAAGCGAGCTGCACCTGCACATGCACGATGATCACACGGTGTTTCATCGTTGGGGTGAGAGTTTGTCACATCGTGTCGCGCCGCGCCGCGCAGCGTTGTACACACACACACCTGGGGTACTCTCCGACCAAAGTGCATCCGGTAGAGATTGCGCCAGAGGAGGCCGTCTCGGGCCAAGGCGTAGAAGTGCTTGCACACCTGACGGTTGCTTGGGAGGTGAGTATGTGTATCTGCACGCGCCAGCGTGCTGATGCACGCGTGCGTGTGTTGTGTTGTACGGCAGGTATGCGCACCAGGTGCAAGGTAATCAGAGAGGGACGGTCGATGAAGGCAAAGATGTTGACCAGGAGGTCGTCAGGCAGAGCGTAGAGGAGAGAGTCCTGGTTGTAGTCCTCCGTGCGCCACAGCATCAACTCTTCCCACCACGCACTCTCCACACGACCTCCCTTTGTTACAACAACGCGTTAGCCTCCAGCACACGCACGACCGCACACGCAACACCCAACGCGACACGGCCAATGGCATGCGTGTGCAGTACCTCGGGGCGGAGCGCGGGAGTTCGTGCTTGGACGGAGGCGACATCGACAAGCAGGTCGTTGAGGGTGAGGCACACGCGATTGGGCTTGTTGATTAAGAAGAAGCCTTCGACCTTAGAGTAGCGGTTGACGTTCACCTGCCAGTGCGTCACGGCGAGCTCCGTCTTCGAGGCTCCCCCTTCCTTGTGCTGCTGCTCTTCATCCTCCACCGCCGGCTTCGTCCACTGCCTTCGTGTGGGCTTGAGCTCGGTGAAGGACAAGATGAGGCTGTAGTTGTTCCTGGGGTTCTCCCTCACCAGATAGAGCCCCTCTCCACTCCTTCCTCCAGCACGAGCCGCTTCCATTAAACGGGTTTCAGCTTCTTCCCGCGAGATGCGTCCGTGGAAGACCCGCATCGTGCCATCTTCCTCCCAATCCATGTCGTTTGCGCATAGCTCTTCGATTACCGTTGAGCATTGAACCTCACCCTGTAACACTTCAGTGATGATCGATCATTAGATTATTGGAATTGCTTCGAATGGCGGGAACACACGACTGCCACGTCATGTGGGGTCGCCGCTTTGGACAGCCTTTTTGACCTTTTATCTTACGAGGAATAACATGCAGAGCGTGGAGGAGCTTGCTGCGTACTACGAAGCCAAGCCGCGACCCGAGTGCCCGAGCTGCCACTCGGCCGAGCGGGTGGCCTTCATCGTCATGGGTCGCCCCACGGCTAACCTGGTCGCCTACGCCGAGCGCCCCGACAGCCGCATCCGGCTGGGTGGCTGCCTCGTGGACCCCGACAACAACCCCCGGCTCTACTGCCGCTCGTGCAAGCTCGCATTCTAGTGATGAAGTCTTCGCCTACCGTGTTAAAAAAAATGGTCGGTGCCCCAAACCGGCCATTTCACGTATTTGTACAAAACACGACAACAGACGACGTTTCGTCTTTCTTTCTCTCGTCATCTGCGTAAAACCTCAACAACAACATCATGCAGAGCGTGGAGGAGATTGCCGCGTACTACGAAGCCAACCCGGGACCCGAGTGCCCGACCTGCCACTCGGCCGAGCGGGTGCTCTCCACCATCGTGGGTCGCCCCTCGTCTAACCTGGTCGCCTACGCCGAGCGCCCCGACAGTCGCGTCCGGCTGGGTGGCTGCGTCAAGAAGCCCGGCAGCAACAAGTTCTATTGCCGCTCTTGCAATCTCGGGTTCTAATCAAGATGAAGTCTTCGCCCACCTTCGTCTTCAGCCGTTTCTTTCTCTCCCTTGTTACGGCCCTTCTTTAGAAAAATAAGCCGCTTGGCGTTGGGTCACTACAAGAAGATGATGCATCCACGAGGAGAGGGAGTGTGGAGGCTCCATCACTCGGCCGAGGGTGGTGGATGGGCGCCGACCTTCTTCTGCCAGTCGTGGAAGGAGCGGTGGGACACCAGCATGAGCGCCTTCATGATGCCCAACAGGGTCACGACGCCCAGCGGCTTTTGGCTCTCATCTGTCAAGGGAAGAGAGAAAGGGTGTGTGTGTGTGTGATGTGCGCAGCGTACGTGAGGTGCCGGTGATGATGTAGCGCGGGGTGCAGAGGAGAGTGACGCACCAACAATCCAAAGCCTGTGCAGACCGTGCTTGGCCATGCGCTTGATGGCTGCCGCGAGCGTGGTGTCATCACTGCAGCAGTACTTGGCGAGAGGCTGCAGCGATATAGTGTCAGGACCATCGAACAACGCAAAGGCGAGATGGGGTGAGTGGGGAGTGGTGATGCGTACCAGCCGCTGGCTCTGCATTGCGACGAACTCACTCACCGGGAGCTGCAGACGAGCAAACATTTCATATCCCAAACCCTGCGTGTGACGAAGAAGCACCCACCACGCACGCGTGGTCAATCACCAGAGCCACCATGTGGCACGCTGCAGGGAGGAAGTAGCGGCGTACCCGCAGGTCGCTGTCGCTGAGAGCACCACAAAACTTGCCCTCGCCATCCACAAGCGCCAGAGCATCGGCTACCTACATAGTCCACACACACACACACACCACCCGTGCACGCGTTTAGCTCAGCTCATCTCGCCCCGCAAGGCACGCAGCGCGTTGTGCGTACCCGCCCCTCCTTGTGCAGCGACGACAGGGCGGCGAGCGCCTTCGTGTCCTTGCTGATCGTGGCCAACGGTCCCTCGATCACATTGATCTGACGCAGGGTCTTGAGTCCCGCTGCGCCCAGCTTATCCATGTGCTTGTTCAAGAACTTGACAACGGACGATTGGCTCACAATGTTGACCACCTTGCCTGCGTGCGTTGAGGGGATCAATGATCAGCGCCGACATGTGTGAGGTGTGAGCCTTTTCGTGCCGAGTGGGTGAGGTGCGTTGTCGGTACCATGTTGATCCAGCACAGCTATGCGGTGGATGCCCCTCGTGAACTGCTCGATCAGATGCCAAATGCTGGTTTCGCCCTCCATCGGCAGGAACACGTCGCTGTGCGAAAAGTCTGGAACCAACGAAGCAACGAACAAGCACGGCACCAAGTCAGTCTCGCTGATTCCCTCCACGCCGAGGGAAGCGCGTGGGTATAAGAGAGAGGGCACGCACTGATGACGCTGCCGATGGGCACATGCGCAAACTTCCATTCGGCCACCTGAGGCGAAGACTCAGAGTTGAGCGTGGAGAGGAAGAGCGACACGATGTCCTCCATGTCCACCATCCCGCCGTACTGCTGCTTGGTGCTGTCCCATACTGCACGGGTTGTTTACACAAAAAAGAAGACGGTGCGTGTAAGACACTGCTCTGGGGCCACTGGAGCCACATAAAGATGGAGGCGTACCTGGCATGGACAGGACGTTGTGCTTCGTCAACAACTACTCCAGAACAACCGCAGCGAACCCAGAAAAAAAGGGGATCAGAAAATTCATAGTAGGACGAGATGATTCGCAAGTATGGTGGGATTGAGATTAAACAGAAAAATCTGAATTATTAATAAATGTCATACCTCCAGCGCCTCAGCGACAGTGGCCGAGCCCTTGGCGCTAACGATCTCCCTTGCCGGCAAGAGCTCGCGAATGTGCGTCGATTGCAGGAGCTCCTGCAACTTTTGACCCTCGCCTCCTTCCATTCTGTAGTTATTTTTTATGATTTGTGGCCAATAAATCTGTTAAAATCGAAAGAAAAACGGCCAATTATTTTTAAGAATTTGGGCAATGAAGTTGGGCTTATGGCCAAGTGTAGAAAACATGTTGTTTGGGTGAGGTGCAGCAAGAGGAGAGCAAAGAAGCGTGGTGGCCCCGATGAGGATGAGGAGGAGAAGAAGGTTACTGGTGTACAACAGGAGGAAGAATGTGTGTGTGTGTGTGTGGATGGGCTGCGGGGGAGATGGCTCTCTCATCTCTCACTTATCCCATCATGTCTGGGCGGGTCTGACGCGCGGGCCGCAGCACTGAGGATGAAGAGTACATCCCCTGGATGACCGCCTGCAGCGCTTCCAACCACTCCAGCTGTCGCAGCGATGGCCAGCAGAAACGAAAGAAAGAGTGAGGAATTGAAGTGTTGGGGCGATGACGACGGCAACGAACGATGAAAGTGTAGTACGCACTCGCTGCTCTTCGCTGTCGGCGCACATGTACCACACGCGTTCTGGCGTCACCAGCTTGAAGAGCGGCTTGCTCTTGTACTCCTTCTCCCCCGATGGAATGTCCTCTGCGCAATCCCCGGCGATGAGCCAAAGGAAAGGCCCACTGGGCCTCAGGTGAACGAAGACACGTACCCACGCCGATTTGTGTCGCCTCTGTGGCGAGGTGGAGGTCGATCACGTGCAATGCCGAGGTGCCGGGCGCCTCGTGGTAGCTCAACGTCTTCTTGGACGGATTCAGCTGAAACCATCGCACCTTCCAGCTCTGTCGCGGACAGAGTGTCAGAAGAAGCCCACGCCGTGGACCACGAGCGCACGTAGGACAGACGTCCGAGAGGTCGTAGGGGTACCTTGCGGATAGCACCGCGCTTTTTGATCCACCCCACAAACAGGTCCTCGTCTTCTGCTCGTCGCACAAAGAAGCTGCGCCGCACGCGTAGAAGGAACTTGCAAGTGAGCGACATTTAAATGTAACAATACTCAAATTAAAATTTAATTAGGAACACACTTGTTTTGAATAGTGCATCGGGCAGAGGACCAGGCAGGGGTTGCACGCGAGGTCTAAGATTGATTATTTCTTTGTTTTGTTTTGTTTGAAGGGAAGCGCACTTTGGGAACCAGCCGAACTGGGTGAGCGAGGTCTGGCCCTTGAGCAGCCCCTCATCTTGCTTCTCGTCCACCACTGTAACAAGGGGCATGACGAAAATGAAGTCACCCGCTCACTATGGGATAGATGAAGGTGCCCGCCCGCAAGCTGCAAGGAGTGGGCAGAAGGGTGGTGTGGAAAGAAGAGAGGGGGGGGAGTACCGGCGAGGACTTGGCCCTTCTTGAACTCAAGAAAGCCTTTTTGGCGGCTGTAGTGATCTTGCAGGGCCACCGCAAGGTAGACCTCCCCTTGCTTGCGCCCCGCGGCCTCCATCATCAGAAACACGCTCGACATGACGGGCAGAAAGAGAGGAGAAGAAGCAAAAGCGAAGCAAAGACACACAATAACGAACTCCAAACGAAAACGTAAAACCAAGTATTGGCCCAAGGCGGGGTAAACCGCGATTGTCGGGATAGACCGATTTTTGACGGCAAAACAAGGCAAAACAAAGCAAACTATAAAATTAAATAACAAACAAAGGAAAGCACTCTGGGAGAGCGCGACGGGAGGAGTGCGATGGATTTCTTGCATTTATTCAAGAAGGGGGCGGGGGCGCCCAAGGAGAAGAAGGACGTCGAAGAGGAAACCGTTCAAAATGAGGTAAATCACTTCACTTCGATTAATTAAATACTGATGTGCTGGTAATCACTGCCACGTCGCAGCACTCTCGAACTTTGTTAATTCCCATTTTTAATCTTTTGCCTCTTTGTAAATGGCACCCTAAGGGACCCGAGAACGAAGAGGAAGAGCAGGAGACCGATGAGGAATTAATCAAGTCCGTCGATGCGCGCTACTACACGCCGGACCTCGATCCAGTCGAGGAGCTCTTCAACCAGCTGCCGCCCAACTTCGACGAGCAGTGGCTCACCAGGGAGATCAAACGCAGGGAGCGGCAGCGAGAGCTTCTCGCCGCCTCCCTCGCCGACCGTGTCATCAAAAGCTACGGCGCCTTTGGTACAAAACACCACAACACGACACGCGCAACACACACACGACACGACGCGCACGACACGCGCGACACACACACCCAACACACGAGAGGTGTTTTATAAGTGGTAACACGCCGCGCCTTGTCCACCGCAGTCCAGGGAATGTCGCAGGTGCAGCAGGTGGGCTCCGACCTGCACCTGGCGGCGTTCCTGTGCAAGGCCGCCCGGCACAAGCTGGCCGCCAGCAAGAACGCTCTGGGAAGGACTTGCTTCTCCGTCCTCTCCAACTACCGACGCACTTGCATCACCGAACAGGTACTCGCCCGCCCGCCCGTCCTGTGTTGAGTTCGGTGCTAACTGTGCACACGCACACGCACACGCACACTACAGGTGATCGCAAAGCTGACTACGATGCAATCGATCATGGACGTGGAGAACCGAGCGCGCGAGGCGGCCGATTCGGGCGACTTTGCGCGCGCGGTGGAGCTGTGCCTCGAGTGCCGACAGAAGACGATCAACCTCTCGGCCTTCGTCGCCTCCCGGGGACTGGCCGGGCGCATCCAGGCCGCCTACTCCTCCGTACAGAAGTCGCTCGACTCTGCCCTTGGCGACTCGTGCCGAGAGTTCGACGCCTCTCGCTACAAACCCGTACGCTCCACCGTGTGTATGTCATGAGTGTGTCGGTGTGTCGTGTGTCGTGTGTGTCGTGTGTGTCGTGTGTGTCGTGTGATGAATCATTGTATCTTAACTGGTGGTGCCATGACTGCAGGCCGTGCTGGCGTATCGTCTCATCGGCAAAGCCGATCGCCTGCTGGAGCGGCTTCAGCGCCACTGGCTCGCCGCGCTTCACACCGAGTCTCTGGATGCCCTCCAGCCCTATATTCCGGCCAAGGAGGGCCAAGCGCAGCGTACGTTGGCGCTTCTCTCCTTTATTTAACCACACACACACCACACACACTTCACACGTGCTTACGTACTCACGTCTGCCCGTTGTGCGCTTCTCTGCTCTATGTGTGTGGCATCAGCAGTGGTGGCTGCGGCAGCAGGGACCGCGACGACAGCGGGAGAGGCGCAAGCCGCCAATTTTCGCGAGCTGTGCAAGACTCTGTCGCAGGACAGCTTGCCGACGTGCCTCACGGACCTCCTGCACCGCCTCACCCTGCTCCTCTTCGCCATGCACCGGATGTGCCTCTGGCACAAAAACTATCCCATCGACGTCGACAACAGTTCCTATCTTTCCGAAGTTCACAATGGTACGCACACGCACACGCACACGCACACGCACACGCACACGCACACGCACACGCTGGTGCCTGGCTGACGGTGGTGGTGGTGTCAAGGTCTCGAGCGGTTCCGGAAAACGCTGTGGACGGAGATGCAGCGAAAGGTCTCGGCCCTGTTGGCCATCGCCGACTTTGCCGCCCTTCAGCTGGACCAATTTTTGCAGATTTTGTCCGTTCTCGAACAGGTTCGTTCGTGGGTGCGCCGCGCGTACTCTCGTCTCCTGCGTCTCACCTGTGTGTGCGTGTGCGTGGTGTGTGTGTGTGTGTGTGTTGGTGTGTTGGTGCGTGTGTCGCACAGTTCGCGGAGATCGGCGACTCGTTCAGCCAGAGCACATCGCACGGCCTGCTGGCGTCGATCAAGAAACAGAGCAAGGAATTCTTCCTTCGCGAACACAAGCGGCGACTCGAGGACTTGCCCGCCATTTTGGAAGCCGAGACGTGGATCCGAATGCCCGTCAACCCCAGCTTCAACGCCTTAGGTACGTCTTCGCAGATTACGCTCGCGTGCACCAGCAGCCAACTCACTTCTCAACACACACACGACACACACGACACACACGACACACACGACACACACGACACACACGACACACACGACACACAACGTACAACAGACATCAAAGAGTTCAAGGAGTTCATGACGAGAAGCGACAGCGGCAAGGCGGAAGCCAAGAACGCGGGCTTCGAGTGGTACGTCAACCACGGAAGCCCGTTCGCCGGCGTCAACAACGCTGCGGCCGGCGATCAGTCCGACGCCGAATCGAACGGTGCTGACGTCTCCCACAACGGCGAGCCCGATGTACCATACCCCCCTCTCGCCATCACCGTGTGTCGTGTCGTGTCGTGCTAACGCGTGTGCGGTGTGTGCGGCGTGTCATTCATTCCACACAGTTGAGTCGAGATGACGAGGCGGTGAACCCGGCGCTCTATGCGTCGTACGTGGACGAGGGCGACGGCGCGGCGGCGGCGGCGGCGGAGCTGGACCGGCTACCGACTCCGGGCGAAGAGGGTCCAGTCATGGCCTCCTCCGGCCTTCGCTTCCTGCAGTACATCGGCAAATACCTCCAGCTTATGGTACGCGCCGACACACGACACGACACTCACCGCGCACGACACGACCAACAACACGACACACTCTGACGCGAACGTGTCTACGTGGGTAGTTCCTGCTGCGTCCCATCTCGTTCGAGATATTCGTGGGCGTCACCCATCTGTTCCAGTACTACGTCTACACCGTCTACTCGTTCTTCGGCAAGGAGAAGGAGGACCCCGACGCCACGGGCAACAACGGCATCGTCTCCACCATGTCCATGGTCGCCGCCGGTACTTCCCACCACCTATTGCAGCAGCCTGCGTTGCATTGCAAACCGTGTTTGATTGTGTGTCGTGTCGTGTCGTGTCGTTGGTCGTGTCGTGTCGTGTCGTGCGTCGACAGGTGTGATGGCGGCTACGGGCGGTGATGCTGCGCAGGAGGTGGTGGTGGTGCCGCGCCACCTGCACCCCTACCTCGCCGCCTGTCTGTCCCGCATCCGCGCGCAGCTCATCCACGAGGCCAGTCAGGAGAAGCGCAAGTTCGCCATCGACGTAAGTTGGCTCCCCTCTCGTCGCGCTCATTACGCCAGCGACCGACCACCGACACCGAACACATTTTCACACAAACAGGAGGCGCATCTGTCTGGAGGCGTGGACACGTCCGACGCCAATGCTGCGGCGCTGGCCGAGAGGGTGGTCGCTGCCGAGACGCTCTCCTTCATGTACAGCGCACTCATCGCCGTCAAGAATCGTCTGCAGGTGTGCCGTCCGCCCCCGCTCCTCTTCTCGATCGCCGCGTCTCTAAACTGTGTGTGCCGCGTGTCGTGCGGGTCGTGTCGTGTCGCGCTGTGTGAATACAACAGAGCCAGCTGCCCAAGGCGCGAGAGCAGTACTGCGTCAAGTTCTACGAGCAGACGGTCGAGATGCTGCCGCACCTGCAGACGGGCATCTACAAGTGCGCCGCCACCCACATGCTCCGCTACGAGGGCTTCCCGACCAAGATCGCCAGCTGCAAGTGGGACATCAAAGACCTGGGCATGGACCACAACTCCTACGTCGACCCCATGGTCAAAGAATTCCAACGATTCAAGGTAAGCCTGCGCGTGTGCGGTGGTGCGTGTGCGGTTTTGCCGGGACTCGGGCTAACTGTGTGTGTGTGTGCGTGTGTGTGATCTGTGCAGGCACAGCTGGAGGGCGTGCGCAAGAGAGGCGGCCTTCCGGGCGGCACCTACAACGCGATGCTGCAGGCGGCGTGCGGGCACGTGGTGGACGTCCTCATCGACGGCTTCTCGCGCGTGCGCAAGTGTTCGTTCGAAGGCCGCGGTCTCATGAAGCTCGACTTCCAGACCCTGCAGGTACTCTATGCTGGTCTTGCCTTTTCTTGATTTATTATTATTATTATTATTAAATGAATTATTACGAACGCAGTCGAGCTTGAAGAAGATGCTCGCCCTCAAGGCGATTCCCGAGGCCGAGCGTTTGGACGCCTTCATCAGCGCCTTCTACGAGCCGGAGGCGGGTCTGCCCCAGTGGTTCCGAACGCACTACGGCGACTACACCCACAAGCAGCTGCTGGGCCTGGTCAACTCCCTGCCCATCAAGCGCAAGCAGCGGTCCGAGATCCTCCAGGTGCTCAGCGATCTCGAGAAGGAGCGAAGGACCACCCAGCCCACCGCCTGAGAATCCCAACGCGCGTGTGTTGCTCGCCTCCAATTTTGTATCGTGTCGCTCGCTCCCTCTTGTTGTTGTTTGTACAAACATCTACACCACTACAACTACCCATCAACCCTCTACATGCACAAGTTCGAAGAAGTAAGAGAAACGTAGAGCTTTTGTACATGAAAGGTGCTAGCTGGCCGCCCTCTCTCAAAAGGCGCCAACGATGTGTTGCGTTGAGATGAGGTGCAGCAGTTCACTGCGCTCCACTTCCTCCCACCTCTCGTGCTTGTCGAGCATGCCCGCACGCAGCATGGCCTCTACATCATCCCGGCCCTGCATGCAGGAGCGAGACACGCACGCATTAAATCACGCACACGCACGACCGCACACGCATAAGGATCATACCTTGCCGTATGACGTCCAGTCGGTTATCTTCTTCTGCACGAGTCGGGCAAGCGTGGTCTCCTCGCCCAGCGTGGCGGGCACGTAGGTCGGATGGGGCAGCACCGAGGCAAGCGCCTCCTCCACCAGATCCCACAGCAGCTCCTCCTCGCTCTGCCAAGCGTTCGTTGTTGTAACCCACAGGGTAGGTGTGAGCAAAGAAGAAGAAAAAGAAGAAGAACAAGGCCGTGACGGTCACAGTTGACAGGACAGGTGGGAACGAAACGTACCGCGAGCGAGGCGAGTCCCTGTCCCACGCCGGCGCACACTCGCAGCCTCCACTCTTCCACGACGGGCTCCCACAGCCCCCCTTCTGGGTCATCATCAATGTCATGGTCGTGGTCGCGCCCGTGCTCGGCGCCTGCGTGATCGTCCTCCCCGTCGCCAGGCTCGCCTTGTTGTCGGTCGAGGTCCTCCTGGAAGAGCCGTTGTGGCTTCTGTTCGTGTGTCGTCTCCCCCGCTTCACGAGCGTTGTCATCGTCGTCGTCGGAATCCGAGGCCTCGTCCTCAGTGTAGTGGCTCAGCATCAGCTCGCTCAGCTCCTCCACCCTCTGCTCCTCGATGCTCTTCTTCATCTTCGCGCCCTCCTCGCCGCTGGCCTTCGTGTCGCCACTCTGCAGGCCGTCGGCCGCAGTGCCGGCCATGGGCGACCCATGCGTCTGCTCCTCGAGGAGCGACGACAGGTCCTTCGGCAGAACCGACTCGTAGCGCTTCTTTCGCTCCTTGGCAACCTCCGGTGCCGTGGGCGTCTGCTGGCCGGCGCCCAATCGGCTCGGCTTGCTGGTGCCCCCCGAGACCGTGCGTGCGGCGGCGTCGGTCGTGGTGTCCCTCTTCGCGGGCCGCTCGCGCGATACTGAGGTCGCCGGCGCGGGGAGGTTGGGCGACGTGGGGCTGCGCCCGCGCTCGATCGAGGCCGTGATCTTCTTGCGCATCCGCTCCCGCTCCCGCTCCTCGCGCGCCTTTCGCCTCTTCTCCAGCCGCTCGTCGACCACCACTGGAGCGCTGGCCGTGGGCCTTGTCGTTGGCCTGGGACGCCTCTCCGCGACCGTAGCAGTGGCGGACGACACGCTTGACGCGCCATTGGCGGCTGCAGCGGCGGTCACCGCTCCAGCTGATGTGAGGCCAGCTACGGTCGAGGCTGACAGGGTGCTCCGCTTCCGCCGACGCTCGATGATGGCATCGGCCTTCTCGGCCTCGTGATTGTTGCCTGTGACAGCCGCCACTCGCATTCGCGCTGAGGAGAGCAAAACGAGTTTGTCAGCGGGCGCGAGTTGGCGTGCAGCGATGGCTCCAGCCGAGCAGATTGTGTAAGTAGGTGGTGCTGGTACCGGCGATGGTGGGTTGCGCGAATCGGGCAACGGCCACGCTGACCCGTCGCTTTTTGGGCTTCGCGGAAGGCGCCACGGCCGAGTGGTCCGCAATGGACGATGTGTTGGCAGAGGCAGCGCCAGAGGGCGGTGCGAGGCTCTCCATCAGGCTGACTTCGGTGGACGCGGGGGCCGAGGCTGCCACCGGATCGAGGGAGAGTTCGGCGGTGGCCGCCGCCAGCGAGGCGCTCGTGGAGGGGAGCATGCTGCGTCGACGGCCCACAGCCTTCTTTGCGCTGTGCTCGAGCTCTCGGACGACTTCAGCATTCTTAGCCCGCGACCCGGTCCTAGCGACGTCCAACGGCGCGAGGCTGCGCCGGCTGGCCTTGATCTTGGCTGCTTGTGACGCCACTGCGTGCGGGCATGAGTCAGCGACTCACTCGCACAACAAGTGGGCGCGGAGGCGCTAGTGCAGGTACCCAGGTGCTGTGAAAGCTTGGCGTTGGCCTTGTCACCGTTGCTTGTTGTCTTGCTTGCCGTCTGCGATGGCACCGAGATTGTGCACAACAAGAAGGTACAAAATGATGAGTGCACAAGGCGAGGGTAGATTTAGTGGAGCATTGAGAGGGGGGGGGCAAGCAGTACGCCGAGCGTGGGTCGTGGGGTGGGCAGATGGTGAACTTTGGTCGCCCCAGTGGTCGGCAGATGAGGAGGATTGAGGTTGCTCAAGGCCGTGCCGACCTTCCGAGTTGGGTGGCCCTTGCCAGTAGTAGTTGCGAGATGCTGCTTGCCGGTGGGCGGACCGTTCTCCTTGCCGCATGTCAGGCCAGCGAGCGGGAGTGGAGGCACCTTGCTCACTTTAGTCCTCTTCTCCGTCACAAGTGCCTCATCTTTGATTGCGGCTGATTTAATCTCAGTTCCTATCGTGGTCTTCCTTCTCATACTCTTCTGCTTCTGTGCAGCCGCAGACGAAGAAGATGTGGTGGGGCGATTGTGGGTCGCATTTTGCTTTCGCGTGAAATCTTCGAGGGCACGTAGCGCCTGCGCGCGTCGCTCCTGGGCCGCACGGGCGGCCTCTTCCTCTTGTCTGTGTTGTTCCTCCATCTGCTTGTTTCGCGCCTCGGAACGCGACTTCATGAATCGATGCAGGCTCTCAGCTGCTGCCGCCGACGGTGTCGTCATCGTCGAAGTGCTCTTCCGTCCCTTCGAATTCCCTCCTCTATTCATCCTCCTTGTTCCCAGAGGCCCTCCACCGTATGATTTCAATCCACCGCTCGTGACCTCAACCCTGCTCTATCTCTCTTGCAATCTCGAGCCGAGGCGATCTCAGATTCGCCCCAGAAAAGTGTGCGCCGTGAGGCAGTTGTGTTTTGGTGAAGTAAAAAGGCGCCAAAATATTTTGTCGACATAACAATATTAAAAATTAATTCTTTTTGTTTTGTGCGCGTCAATAGCCTTCCGTCATGTCGCCTCCACCATTGTCGTCGTCATCGTCGTCCTCACCATCCTCACCGTCTTCCTCATCCTCTTCAACGGCGTCGCCCTCTTCCTCTTCAGGGAGTTGCGGGAGCCCGGCCAGTGCCGTGTTGATTCGCTCCTGCAGCTCGTTCAGCTCCGGGTGGTCGGCGTTCTCCAGCTCCTCGTCGATGAGCTCCTTGGCCTGCGTGATCGCCTCGACGGCCAGCTCGACGTCGGTCGGCACCAGGGCCAGGTGCAGCAGGTACCACACCTCGGCGATGGCGTCGTGCTCCTCGACCAGCACCTCCAGGATTTGCCGCGCCGTCTCGTGCTGGCCCAGCTCGAGGAAGAGCTTGGCCGTGTTCGTTCGGAACTCGTACTCGGGTTTGGCCTCATCCTCCTCTACGGTACGTATGATATGATGATAAGAAGGTGAGTTTGAACAACGTGAATGAAGACGAAGAGAGAGAGAGAGCATAGAGTTAGTGATGTGTGGAATGAAGGAATGATGGAATGACGCATACCAATGTGCGCCCAGAGCTGGTGGCCGTGGGTGAGGGACCGCAGGGCGTCGTCCTTTCGGTTCTGGCTTATCCGGAGGCTGGCCATGGTCTGATGCACCTCGGGGTTCTCCGGATCGTACTTGAGCGCCTCACTCACGAATCGCTCGCACTCGCTCTCTGCATTCTCCTCGAAGCTGCTCACACCAAAGAGCGAAACAAAAAATGAAGAGAGGTCGACGACTGTGAGCACATCATACGTAATCATACGATCACCGACTGGGGTGGACCACCGTTACCGATGGATGATTGAAAGGGCTCCTCAGCAACGTACCAAGCGTCTGTAAGGTAGATCTCAGCCGCAGCGCAGAAGGCGCTTGCGATCTGAACGTTGAGCTCGAGCACCTTCTCTGACGTCTCTCCCTCCTGCATTCACCAAGGCCATCAGATGCCGCAGTCGATTAGTATATCGGGACTGTTGCCTGCATGCGAGCAGAGGGAAGTTGAGCCCAACTGCACGTACCTCGACAAAGAGGGCAGCACGCTTCTTGACCAGCAGCTCGATGCCCTTGTTGTAGTAGCCCAAGGCCTCGAGACCCTCGGAGATCTGCGCGAGGTTGAGGTAGGGCGTGCCGTCGCCCTCGGGCGACAGTTCTATGCAGCGCATGAGCGCCCGGTAGGCCTCGTCGGCCTCCCCGAGCTGCATCAGGACCTCAGCGTATCCTCCCAACGCCTGCAAAAATTATTCAATTATTTTATTTTAAAATAAATTAGTTGAATTAAAATTTGCTGTAGCGACGGCGCATTTGTCTGATTAAGATGAAGGAGATTGTAAATGCAATCATTGGAACGGAAGAACACAATGGGCCGGAACGAAGTGGGTGGCGTACTTGTGTGTTGCTCGGCTCCTGCGAGAGGGCCTTCTCGTAAAATCTCTGTGCCAATTCGTAATTGTATTCTTCGACGAGCTCCTCGGCCTTCTTGATGAGGGCCTGTGCCGGGTAGGACGATCCGTCATCCTTCTCTTTCGCAACCCCGCGCTTCGCCTTTCCGCCCTTCTTTCCGCCTCCTCGACCTTCCATCGCGCGTGTTTGTCTGTTTGCGAGTGCGATTATGTTCTTCCTTTCTTCTCTGTCTTTTTGTTTTGTTTTTTCCATTTTTTATTTTACGGAATGTGAGCTATTTACGGTTTATTCGATTGAAGATGGGCGAGTGGGAGGAGCTGTGTGCGTTGGAGGCTCATCTCCAACAACAAGGGAGGAGGAGCTCGGCATCTCCTTTACAGTGCAGGAGATCTGCCGCATACTGTTGCCCATACCACCGCCTCAGACCCCCTGCTCCACCACGCTGCTCCGGCTCACGCTACTCCATCGCTGCTGCGCCGAGGCTGAGCTGGTACCCCTCTTCCCCCCCCCCTTGCAGGCCTGTTATTGTGCTCAATGACCTTCTCTTTGCAGGTTGTGGGTAACGCAACCACGCGCCAGCGAGTGCTCGCGGCAGTGTGCACACGAGCGTGGACCGCTGCCTGCATGGACAGCCTGATGGCCCACTTGGCCTCGGCGGACCAGTGGGTGGCCCTGGCGGCCAGGCGAGCGCTACAGGCCCTGTTTCTCTGTTCGTCCCCGGAATACGCCCTGGGTCCCTCGCACGACGGTGGCAACGACTACTCGCAGACCCTGCGCTCCCACTACCGCCGCCTCTTCCAGGCCCGACCAGCAACCATGGTCGATGGCGACGACACTTCACCACCGAAGGGAGCCATGGCGGTGCTCAAGCTGACCACGGAGATCCTGCGAACTTGGCGCCGGCAACACGAACAGGCCACCACCGGCGATTCAGCGGACCGCCTCACATCGCGGCCGCCGCGCCATGCCGTGGGGCGTGAGCTCTTGTCGTGCCTGTGCGAGTCCATGAGCGCGCTAACCATCGGCGTATCACAGTCGGTAAGCTTGTCCGCAGGCGCGTTCACCTTTGGCCCATCGATGACACTGACCTAATGGCCTCACATTCTCCAAAGGTGGACGGACTCGACGCTCTGTGCAAGCTGTTGGTGGAAGCGCTGAAAAGCGCGCGAGTGGAGCCGGCCGAGGCCGAGACTGAGCGCGAGATTGCCCTCATGGAGAGTACCACTAAGCTGGTTCTTGAACTATGCCCAGAGGTACCATCAGGCATGGAGAGGCACTCAATCGGGTATGAGCTGACGGCGCGACCTGCCAGCTCGTGGGCCACATGCGGGAACGGATTCAAATGGATCGCGACAGTGGCCTGCGAGCCAGCTCATCGCTGATGCGGCTGCTCACCCACCTCTTCGACACCGACCTCTCTTCCTCCCCGCCGATGATGACCAACCAGCTGGTACCAACCAGCTACTACCCACCTGGCACACCGCTTACCACACTTGGTGGTGAAAAAATACCATCAAGCGCGTGCCTCTGGGCAATGACAGTTGTTTGTTCGTTCCTCTAGGTGATGGCATGCATGGGTGTCTTGAGCTCCGTTATGCCAGTGGAGCGTGCTGCAGCGCGGGACCGAGCGAGACCAACCCGGCTGTCAGCAGGTGATGCGGAAGATGCCGGCCTTGTCGCATCGATCCGGGCGCAACTCGCACCACGCACGCCCGGCATCGAGCGCATTCCCCTCCTGCCGGCGCTGCACTCGACATTCCTGGCCTTCGACGAGGTGACGCAGGAGCAGCTGACGGTCATACGTCGCCGCGCGGTACTCCTGCTGACCCGCGTGTGTGCCGCCTTCGCGCGGCAATTCTCTACACCCGACGGTGTCGAGCCCGCGGTGAAGCTTCCGGCCGCCACTCCACCGTCGCCGCCTCCGCCCACAAGCGACACGTTGGAGGGCACGAGAAAGAGGAAAGCACCATCATCACCAGACACGCCGGCGAGTGGAACTGACGATTCCCACGACAAGCAACGACGACGGACAACAGACGCGACGCGCTCGGAGGGAGATCACCCACAAGCTGTGGGTGTCAACGCGCTGAAAGCGAGTTTGGCCGAGTTTCTGCGCGCCCAGATGGGTACGATTGCGCGCTCGGCTCAATCACACGGGAGCGGGAATGGCGCTGATCGCTCAGCGCGGTGTGGATGTTGGTTTGCCAGGCGAGATGCCCCGAGGTGGAATGACGAGTGCCTTTTTCGAGTTGATGTCGTCACAGGACGACACCATGATAGAGGCCATGCACCACCTCCTCACCATCCACGAGACCGTAGCCCAGAACCCGGCGTACGTCAACCGCGTCCCTCTCCCAACTCTCTCAAACTCGTGCCTCAAAGCTTCTGCGTTGTGTGTGTGTGTGCATGTGTGCGGTGCAGCCTGCAGGCATGGCTCTGGGATGAGGTGCACCCGGAGGCGTTGGAGTTGCTTCTGGCGCAGCTCTCGCCTCACGCTGTGTTCATCGGCTTCCTGCAGGTGGTGGGCTTCGACCACCTGTTCCTCCTGGACCTCCTCATTGGCAATGAGACCTCGTTCCTCGCCTACCTCTGCCAGTACCTCCGCCATCTCACCAGCCACCGCCACGCCTTCGTCGCGACCTGTTTCCGTATTGCCGCAGAGGAGGAAGATGATGACGATGACGACGGTGACAGTGAAGGCGAAGAAGGAATGGAGGGTAGGGTCCACGGTGTCTTGCGCCGTCTGCACGACACGATCGAGAGGCTGGATCGGAAGGGACTGTTCCCCTACCGAGCCAAGCCGCTCCTCACCCTTCTCCTCCAGGCCATGGCTCCTCCAGCAAAAGTGTAAATAAATAAAAACACAACAAGAAAGAAGGAGCAATAAATGGCTACATGTAGGGTACACCACACAAGGTGGGTGTGTAAAGGCCTCTTTTGACCGCAGGGGCAAACAGAATGGCTCGTTGAAGTGGGGTATGTTACAAGCCAACAATAAATAAAAGGAGAAGGAGGAGAAGGTGTGTAGAGAGTAGAAACAGGTTTGTGGAGGTGAGGGGGGGTAGGAGAAATACTCTCGCTCTGTGTGCTAGGAGGGGTTGAGGGCGAGGAGCGCGGCCTTCTCCCTCTTGATCTCCCCGTGGAGGAACGAGAAGCGCAGCTTCATTTGCCGCACTCTCTGCACATAGTTCCACAGAAGAAGAAGAAGAGGTACGAGTCTGAGTGGTCGTTCGAGGTATGCGCGGAGGAGCGGCGGGAGAGCGGGGTACCGAAATGCGCTTCTGATAATCGGTGGAGATCTGGTGAACGATCTTGGTCTTTTCTGAAGACGACGCTTTCTTCAGCTGACCGCCCAAGTTCTGGACGACGAGTAGCAACATAGTGATCAGTGAGGGCGGTGCGACACACCAAGAACCGGAGAGGGGAAAGTATATACCTGGAAGAACTGGGCATTCTCATTCAGCTTCCGGTGCAGCTCGCAGTACTCCTTGTAGTTCTTTTCCCACTCGGCCCTCCGCTTCTTGTATTCGCTCAAAGAGATACTTGGCCCTGCGGTGCATAACAACAATTGTGGGGCAATGAGGGCCAAGGCCACGGGCAAAGTACACGGAGAGGAGGAGAGGAGACGCATACCCTTCCACGCTCCATTGTTGTCTCTGCTCGGCAGCGAAAGGGAGGTGGTCCCTTCCCTGGGCGGCTCGGTCCTCGCATTTTTTCGTTTGTGCTCTCCATTCCGTGGAGCCGACGCCTCTTCCTTTGCCTTGTTTGGCGAAGACCCTGGCACCACCTGCATGGTGCAAGGTCAGTATTGTGGCACAACACCTATCGAGGCGCCAACGACACACGCGCGCGACACGACACGACACGACACACAGCGGAACTATCAGTGGAGGTGAGTGGCATTCGAACCAGAGCGGCTGGCGACCCTGATGGGGACGAGGAGGCCGAAGAAGAGGCCGAGGAGTGGGCGGGAGACGGATCCTTGGGGCTCCGTTCGTGCTTCTCTCGTAGCAGCCTCTCTCGCTCCTTCTCCCGCTCTTTGAGTCGCTCCCGCTCCCGCTCTTCCTCCTTGGCTCGCTCGCGCTCCCTGGCGAGCTCCTTCTCTTTTTCCTTTTCCTTGGCTCTCTCCCGCTCCCTGGCCAGTTCCCTCTCCTTTTCCTTCTCCTTTTCCATCTTTGCCGACGATGATGAAGATGAAGACGACGATGGTGGCGGGGCCAGCCGCGCGGGGATCACCTTTTCTTCGGGCTTGGCCCTCTCCTTGCCAGCCGCCGCGAGCGAGCGAGGAAGGGGCGAAGGGTAGCGAGTGCCAGTCGCCTTCGCCTCCAACTGCGCAAGGTACGAAGGTTCAGTTCTACTTGTACGTGTAGTTGTGGTTGTAGTTGTAGTTGAGAGATTGAGGGAGGACGTACGGCGATGGGTTCCGGGGCAGGGATATCCTCTGCTGCCTCCTCCTCTTTCTTCTTCTCCTGTTCCGGCTGCTTCGCCAGCGCCTTTCGTTCCAACACCTTGGCCTTATCCTCAGGACTGCAAGTGTGCGAGGGCACACGATAGAAGAAAGAATATTCGATCAACATCGTCCGAGGTGCCGAGAAGGGCTGTGGAGAACGTACGTGAAGCTTGGCCAATTGGTGTCGACTTCTCTGTACATTTCCTTCTTGAGGTGATAGAGCCCGTCCTTCATCTTCGCCACCTGTGCCCACATAAGACGCGCCATCAGCTCCCGACGTCGGGGAAAGAACGAGTTGGCAGCGGCACTGGGTGATGGAGGAAGGGGGCGTACCTGCTGGAGAGTAGAAGCGAGGGCCGTCTTGCTTGCGGTCGAGCACTTGGCTTCGATCTGTTCATGCGGGAGGGCCTCCAAGGCCAGCAGCTGGACAATTTGCGTGCGCAAGGGCACCCGCTTCGGCGAGCTCAGCTTGGACGAGGCGGCAGTGGCGTGCTTCGACGCCATTGAGGACAACGAGGCCAACTGCGGCCGAGGCTGAGTGGTCTCGGTTCGATTTCGCTTGATGACGGTCGGGGGCGGCTTGGTGATCGATGATGGGGCCTTCCTCTTGCCATCCTTGGAAATCAGTTGCCCAGTTGAGTCAATCAGCACACTCCTGCATTACGTGAAATGGAAAATGTCAAAATCTTCTCACATCTCGACCTCATCTCGCATTAGCCCTTGGTGCAAAGAGAGGCGTTGTGCCTGCAAGCCAACAAGCTCTTGTGCTGCGAGATGACAAATCGCTTGGGGGGCTACGTACTTGTGAGACAAGCGTTCTTTCTCATGTGTCTCGGTGGCAGTCTTGACGCGCTTCCTATCTTCCTCGCGTAGCTTCTGCGTGACAAAGATCTTCCTTTTGACCACGCCCACCTTCGTGAAGGTACCCTCCTCACCCTCATCGACCTGATGATAGCAGTCGGTCACTCCATGCTCCTCGGGCGGTGCCCTGAATGAGAACTGTTCGTTGCCCACCGATATGATCTTTTAAAGATGGGAAGGAAGAAAGGGGGCATTAGGTGAGCAACAAGTTACGATTAAATGGAAAGCTAGAATGGGGAGTGCTTACATTTTGGCTTCCAAAGCTAATCGTCATGCCTGCAGTACCCTTGCTCTGCAGATGCTGCAGCAACTCACTTGACAGCTTGATGCCCACCACGTACTGAGGGCTGGCGTTGGGCATAATCGTGTAAATCGGCAGCGCGTCTACGAATCCCTGGCCCGCGTCCATGATGGCCGATGAGCTCCGTCGCACACGCGCAGAGAGCTCTCGAGAGGGCTTTTGGTCGCTCGGCACGAGTATGACACTAGACACTTCACGTCCCCTCTCTATCCCTCAGTCGTCTCCTCCTCTTCGATTCACGGCTGTGCTGGCACACCACCAACCAACAACAACACAACGCTCGCTCCCTCTTGCGTGTGTGCCTCGGCGCCAGGACAGAACAACACCTCCTCTCTGGCCCCCGCGTGTTGTTTTTTGGTTCTCGAATTTCCCGCCTGTTTTCTTCGTCTGTGCTCCAAAACTCGTGAGGAATTCCAGGAATGCCAGGAGATCTTGGCTGACCTTTTTTCCGTCACATTTCATATTTCAAGTTTGAGAGAAAAGCTCAAGGCCTGGGTGGTCAGGTTGGGTGAATCGGCCTACAGGTTGAGGCCAAGGTGGTGACCGCTCTTGTTCGGCGTGTGCAGGTGCACAAGAAAGACGTGTTCGCGGCGAGTCAGGCGACACGCTTGTTGTGGCTTGGTCATCCGCCAATGGGCAGGTCCGGAAAACTGTGACAAAATAATAGGTGGCTGTTCTTTTGTTTTGTTGTGAACACCATCTTCCCCAATCGCGCTATTCAATTTTCGTTCAAGAAGGCCAGCGAAGATCTTTACTTTAGAGCCAGAGCAACTCGCAGGTCGTTCCAGAATCTGTTGTACATTTTGAGGTGAAGCATTCGCCTCCACAACCGACGTGCGATGATGGCCGAGACGAGCCAGCCGCTCGCCGAGAAAACGGAGTTGCAGATTCTTCTGGAGGAGAATGATGTCATGCGACGCGAAATCGAGGCTCTTCTCCAGGCCAAAGAAATCGCCCGAGAGAAAGTCAGGGTACGGCCACAACCCAATTTGATAATGAATCTGATGTCATTTTAACTTGATCTCTTGCGGCCGTGACAGAGCGCCATCCAAGAGCTGGTCGAAGAAAACAAACGCTTGAAGACGAAGCTCGCCGGTATGGAGGTACGCTCATCGCTTGGCCCCGCGAAGACTATTAATTATCACATTAAATATTAATGTGAATATAATTATTATTTCGTTTATTGCTGCTCGTGTGCGCACACGCGCAGACACAGATGTCCAGCCTCGTGGCCGAACGCAACGCCCTCGCCAAGCGGCTGCAGGCAGCCAACGGCGAAGAGGTATGAGCAGCACGCAGCCCTGCCCACACTCGCTTGTGTGTATGTGTGTAGTGCATGTGTGTGTGTGTTGTTTGGGTGCTGATTGATATCTCGCGGGCTTTGGTGAAGCAGGAGAAGGGAGAGGACGAGCAGCAACAGCAGGAGAGTATGCACCGCTCCGGCGGCCGGCCCATCAGAAAGTCCTCCCAGTCCAAGGCCTCCAAATTCTTTGGAGCAGTCGTCGAAGAGGCCGGCCCGGTCGAAACGCTCAAGATCGAAGAGGAGGGACTGCTCATGTGGAGGAACGAGGTCCGCGCCCACATCCACTATGCTGCGGCTCGCAGCCACAACTTTCTACTGACTCGCTCGCTTGCGTGAACACATGTGTTGGTGGTGGTGGTGCGCAGATGGACAACACAATCGAGGTGCGCGGCGGCACTTTGGAAAAGCTCGTCTTGCGGCTTTTGCACGAGGCCACGCCACGCCTCTCGCCCGAGTTCATCACCGATTTCATCCTCACCCATCGGAGCTTCACCACGACCGACGAAGTGCTTACCCACCTCATCAAAAAGTGCGTCACTTGTGCTCCACCCCATTGGCCTTTGATCGCTGCGAGCGCGGCTGACATGCACACACCGCACACACCGCACACGCACAGATATCATGACTGCACCGCAGAAGTGGAGAAGGAGGATAAAATCACACGACTGCGCATTTGTACGGTCTTGGAACTGTGGGCCGAACTGCAGGGCGAGGACCTGGCGCCCGAGGAGAAGTTCCTCACCTTTGTCAAAACGCGCTTGCAGGCCGTCGACGGGGTACGCCCCCCCCCCTCTCGCCTTTCCTTTTCCGCACTACTGCGGTGTCCGTATGAGGATGTGAACACATGTTGCCACTCTTGTTTTTTCATTAATTTGATCAACCGTGTCCATGTTGGTGGTTACCATTTTTCGTTCTACTGCGTAGGAGCGGCTGGCGCAAGGAATTCTTCGCCGGCTGTCCGTGTGGCTCAACGACCCCCAGGGCAGTGGGCCAGACAGTCCGGTACGCACCCAATCCGGTTCTCTCCTACTTCTCGATGGTGCCGGGCTGTCGGCAGTGTTGGTGTTTCCTCCCTAACGCGGAGTTCGGTGCTTGTTTGCGTCGTCGTCGTTCGTGTGAACAGAAACTGTCGCAGTGCTTGAGCGGCGAGCTGGAGTCGACGACCAGCAGTGAAGACGTCAGAAAGACACCGACCAAAAGCTCATCGCCCCGAAATTCGTCGTCGCCCCGCCTGACCCGAAAGCTGGCCCCCATCAAGCAGCCCAAGCCCCTCATCCCCAGGGTACTCTCCACCACCACCACCCTGTCGTGGTACCTCGGTTGTCGCTCGGCTATTGACTTAGAGTACTGTACCATTAGATCAAGGATGCGGCCGAGCTGACGCTGGACGACATCGAGCCGGTGGAGCTGGCCCGGCAGATGACCCTGCTCGACTATGCGCTGTTCCAAAAGATTCGACCGTCGGAGTACAACAACGTGGCGTGGACCAAGAAGAACAAGGAGATCGCGTCGCCCAACCTGCTCCGGTTCATCAGGCGGTTCAACGACGTGTCGATATGGGTGCAGAACACCATCCTCTCGGGCAAGAGCGCCAAGAAGCGCGCGGCGCTGGTGGACAACTTCGCCAAGGCGGCCGTGGCCTTCCGCAAGCTCAACAACTTCAACGGCGTGATGCAAATCGTGTCCGCGATGGAGGGCGCCGCCGTGCATCGCCTCCAGAAGACCTTTGAACGGGTGCGACCCAAGTCGAGGACCAAGTACGCCGAGCTTCTCGAGCTCATGTCCTCCTCGGGCTCCTACAAATTCTATCGAGAGGTACGCCATACGCGCATAGGCATATGAGACGGGGGTGGGGTGCCGCTATCGCGCAGTTAAGACTAAGTGCGTTGTTGGGGCACGCCAGGCGCTCGCGGCAGCGACTCCGCCCATTGTGCCCTACATGGGCATGTACCTCACCGATCTCATGACGCTCGACGAAGTGCACAAGAACATGCTCGAACCCAGCCAGCCCAGTACTCACTCCCCTTCACCCGAATCGTCCATGGCGCCGGCGCTGCTCTTGCTTAACCACCGAACCAATGCGATTGTCGTGTGTTGTGTGAACCACCCAGCCTACATCAACTTCACCAAGAGGGTACAGATCGCGTCGGTGATGAAGAAGATCTTAGAGCAGCAGAGCGCAGACTATGCCCTTCAGCCCATCGATTGCATTCAGGTATTCCATAACTGTTAATGTTTGTCAAGTGCAGTCGTGGAAGAGCGGCCGCTTACCCCATTGTGCGGCCCGCGCGTGCGCAAACATCACCAGGAGTGGTTCGTGGCCCAGCTTGACCAATTCGGCGCGACATCGGAGGACGCCCTGTTCAGTATGTCACTCGTCGCCGAGCCCCGTGAGGGTTAACCAACCCACCCACACAAAGCCGGTATGATCGACGCCTTCTGCGCTACCACGATTCTGACCAAAGGCCAGGTGTACACCGTGATGTACTATTACTCTTACGAGGAACCCGTGCAATGTACAACTTCTTGACCAGCTTTTTGCCTTTTTTATTATTATTTGTTTTAAAACCTCAAAACAAAATGAAAGTGGGAAGAAAAAGAAAAGAAAAAGAACCCACGCAAAGATGGAGCAGCCGCAACCTCCACCCCAACCTGCGACAACCTACCCAGGCTATTTCTATGACATTAAGAGGCTCGTGGCCAAGTACATGCGGGTATATGGCATGCCATCCTTCGCGTTGATGTACGCATTTCTCCGGATGATTGCTAATCGTGTATCAACCACACAGTCCGGTAGCCCCTTCTCCTACAAGGACTTCAAGATGCTGTGGAAGGAGATGCGATTCAGCTACATCCACCACGCCAAGCCCATGGACATGGAATACGGCGAGTACATGCAGCGCCTCTACTCGTCCACCCTCGGTACCGAGCTGCCCCCAGCGCGCCACCCCTCAACTCAGTGAGTTCGCTCAACCGCTGCGCACGCACACCGCACACGCACAACAGGCTTCTTGTACAGTCCCCAGCCGCTGCTGGTGCTCGTGGGCACCCTCTACACTCTCTACACCCTCTACAACACCCAGCTCAAAAAACCGCGCACGCCCATACGCATCTCCAAAGGTATCAACCGGCCGCAACCTGTGCACGTGTGCGTGTTTGCTCGTGTGTCGTGCGGTGTGTGTCGTGGCATGCCGTGTGGCGTGTTTACCGTTCCTTGTGGGCGCATTACGCGCTCGCTCAATCACCCACCGCGCTCGCAGATACATGGCAGTACCTGCACCGTCTGTACTTGGAGATCAAGAACCAGCGAATATGGGAGGCCTACCACGTGTTTCGTAAGCTGCGCCAGGATCAGAGCTTCTGCTTCACGGCCTACGCTCCCGTCGGACCCCGCTCCACTCCCACCACCAACCTGCAGTGCGTCTCCCTCCACATTCAGAAGAGACTCACGCATGCTGCTTACCATGCGCTGCGCGCGGTGGTGTGGTGTTCCATCGTGATAGCATGCTCACGGAGCTGCCGCCGCACCTTCAGCAAGCCGATACTCTGGTAGCCATTTCCTTTAAATTGATGTGCATTGAATGTTACTTCTCACCAACACGTGACACCCACCGATCGCACGAAACCTCCAGCGAAACGTACTGGATGTGAGCGCGATCGACAAGATCGCCCGGTTGTACAGCTTGGCTAAGGAACGCGCCCAAGGCACCGGTACGTTGTACTCCAAGGCCTTAGGGACGTCTCATTGTCCTTGTGGTGTAGCGAATAACCTTTTTGTTGTGCAGCCGCCCCAGAAGTAAACGAGCCGCAGGTAGCGTACACCACACGCACGACCGCACACGCGCGCACACGCGGCCAGCTAAAGCACAAAAAACTGTCAACACAGGACGAGCTCAATGTGGCGGACGCGCACTTGGGCAGCGATCTCAAGGCGATGCTCTCCGAGATCGAGCGGGCGTACCAGACATCGGATCGGGGCTCGGCCGCCACTGCTGCCGCGTTCGCCTTCCGGCCACCCGCCACCGCCCACTCTCGGCCGACGCCCGCTCCTCCGCCTCCGGCCTTAGCTGCTCCGCCACCTTTGCTTGCGGTCAATGGTCGACCAGACGCAGCGCGCGAGGTGCGGGCTCACTGCACCCATCATGATCGTTGCTTGGTGCTTACATCATCGCGAGCACAGGCGGCAAAGAGGAAGGCCCACTTCGAGCAGAAGTTCGCGACCCAAGAGAGCGCCAACAAGCGACCAAGGATTGAGCCCACGAACGTGGGAACGGAGGCAGGGTTCCTCCGGCTGCAGCTCACGCACGACCAAGCAGACGATGCCTCCTCGGATGATGAGGAGCTGCGCAGAAGTGGTATGTACACATGCTTTCCGGTGCTTCCTCCGCGCTGTTGCTAACACTCAACTTGCAGCTCAGGCGATGGAAGAGTTGCTCAATGGACACGACGCTTTTTCGAACCTGCGCGACGACAATGAAGAGAACGCGTGAAGTGTTGTTGAACGTGGTCATCGCTTCGCTCTAAGTGCCCCATGCCGAGCCGGTGTCACGGCATTGCGGTTCGCCAAAGCGGCCCGCAAGGATTGTTTTGGTGAACAAGGGGCGGATGTAGAGGCAGCGAATGGAAATGCTCAAAAGTGACGAGAATAAAGTTGCGTGTGAGATGCTTTGCAAGCCGCCTAGGCCTATTTATGTTTTATATACCCTAAACAGTCCGCTTAGAACTTGATGAGGTGAGGGAACTGACCCTTGGTGAGCGAGAACTTGGCGTTGAGGTAAGCAGCCAGGTTGGGGACCTTGCCGACAACTTCGAGCACCTTAGCGTCGAACTCCTTCTGATCGGCGATCCTGTGGGCATCGATGGTCTTCTTCTGCAATGGATAAAAACGAGAAATGTCAAAAATTTGTTGAATGGCCATTGAAATTGTTGTGAGCGGGAAAACGAACCTGCTGGGCACCAGTGGCGAAGAACTCGTCCTCAGTCTTCTCCTTCTTGGCAGCCTTACCCTTCTTGAAGTAGGCATCGTTGAACTTCTCGGGCACCTCCAGGCCGGAGATATCGACCTTGGTCGAGGTGGCGATGGTGTAGGCCTGGTTGATGCGGCGGAGGGGCACACCGTTGACCTTGAAGGGGCCAGTGACGAGGAGAAGGCCAGAGGGCTGGAGCTGCTTGAGGAAGATCACGCGCTTACCCCTGAAGCGGCCGGAGAGGACGATCAGGACGGTGCCGGGGGTGATCGAGGACCTCAGCTTGGCGGGCTTGTGGTGGCTCTTCCTCGAGGGGATGGGCCTGGGGACATCCTCAGCCGGGTAGAAGCGCTTGGCCTTGGCGACCACGGTCCTCTTCTCGGTCTTGTTGAACGTCTTCTCGACGCTCTTGGGGGCCTTCTTGGTGGCGGCAACATCCTTCCATTGGTGGCCCGACTTCTTCACGGCAGCCTTGCCGCTGCGGCGGAACATGGCGCTGCGGGAGTAGCGCGAGATACCCCTGACGAGGTCATGATTTCTGGGGGCGTGAGGCTTGCGCGGCATCTTTGGAGATTAGATTGGAGGAGGGCCCTGTCGAAGAAGGGGACGATGGCCGATACAGCAGGGAGAGAGAGGAAAAAGAAAGAAAGAAATAAGCGCCAGTCTCAATCCTCACAAATACCGCCCACCTATTATCTGTCGACACGCGAGCAATCATTTTTCTTTTCCGTTCCGCCTTTTTTTTGCTCGCTTTTTGTCGCGCCCGTTCAGCCACGGTGGGCGCAGGCCCTGAACAGTGGGCGATGATCCGCACACGGGCGCCACAGGCCTGTCAACCCGCGTGCTATGGTGTGTAACAAACCGGGTTATTATCATATTTTCTCGGGCCAGCCGTGTTTCGTTGAACGTCCAGGGCGTCTGCGCCGAGAGACAAACTCTTGTTGCCATACGCCGCGTGGTGCGTCGTTCTCCCCAAAGACAGCCGCGCCTCCAGTGTGTGTTTGTGTCGACTCCCCCGAGTGTGCCCCTTGCCAATCGGCAGCCGTGTGTTCTGACAACTTCCGCTCCTCAAGCGCAACCACCAGCTCCTCTTCAACTTCTCGTCATCTTCAAGCGGCGAAAAAACGAAAAACTAATCTCGACACCCCTGCCTGCCCTCCTCTTCACATGCTGGGCGACGGATTGTCGCTGCACTACTCAGAGTCAGCCGGGTCCGTGTCAGGGATGAACTCCTACCCTGGGGATGCGCATCTAATGTCGATCGACCCCATCAAGGCCGAGCGCCTCGAGCAGCGACTCACTGCCAGCAACAGCACCACCAATCTGCTAATGGGAGGCGCAAATGGTGCCGCATCGAGCGAACCCCCCAGACCTTCATTGCTCAATACCCCAAACATCACACTGGAAGAAGAGGAAGTGTCTGATCAGGAGGAGGTACCACCAGCGGCCCCGCCACTCATACTTTTAAACAGCGGATGACAATTTAACCCCCCCCCTCTCAATTCCCACATTTCCAGAGACTGTGCCGACCTGACGAAGAGGACGGTCTTTCAAACTCGCGCAAGACTGCTAGTAACGATGGGCTCAACTTTGGGAAGGGCACCAAGCGCAAAACCTCCCGCAGGTTCTCCGAACAAGAAGACAAAAATCTGATGGATGTATGACATATCCTTCCCCCTCTCACTGCCGCGTGTGCCCTAACCTCACGTCTCCACGTTGCGCAGGGCTACGACCACTTCGGTAACGACTGGGAGAAGATTATATCATGGAGCAAGCTGGACCGAACCGTGGAGCAAGTCAAGCGTCGCTACACGCGCATCAAGTTCCGCCACCCTGCTGCCGAGAAGCGGTCCGATGACGAGCCCATCATGCTCACCAGCACCGCCAGCACTCCCTCTGCGACCTCCTCGCCCCTCGTCAAGTCTGAAGGGGAAGAGCCGCCAAGAAAGATGCAAAAGACCTTCCACACCCCTCCGCCAGCTCCGACGGCCGAGGTACCTCGGCCTCTTTCCTTCCTTCTTCTCCACTTCCACCCACAACGCCACCTCCTCTTTCCTTTTCTACGGCACGCGCACTCTCATCGGGGCATTCTGTGAGGCCCTCTTTATGTTCCATCGACACGCATGCTCATCACTCCAACTCCTAACACCAAATGCCCGCAGGGTGCCCAATCCGATACGGCCGAGCAGCAGAGGAAGGCGTGGGAGGAGATCAAAGCGCAGCAGGAACAGCTCAAGGCGGAGGAGAAGCGCCTGGCCCAACTGCAGAGCAACGTCAAGGAGCGCGAACAGGGACTCCAGAGGCGCGAGCAACAGCTGCAGAAATACGAAGAGACTCTGCAGACCAAGGTGCGCATGCCGCTTGCCCACTTCCTATTACGAGAAGGAGGGGATTGACCCGTCCGTTCTTCTTCTCTCCAGTTGCGCCACACCTTGCAGTCGCTGCTCGTAGAGCAGGCGGACAGGGAAAGAGACGACGCGAGGAACAGGGTCATGCTGGATTGTACTCGGCTTGGGCAACTGATCTGGGAAAGGTCCGTTCCCTCCGCGCACAAGGGCCAACGAGCCATTTCGTTGGATGGGGACTGCTCAGAGACTGACGACGCAAAATGTTTGCTCTGCAGGAATTCGTTGAGCGAGTTCCACGAGACGTGGCGAGAGGGCAGCGCGTTTCGATCGTTGAAAAAGAAGAAGGACGCCATCGCACAGGAGAAGGTGGCCATCGAAGAACAAAAGAAGAGGATGAAGAAATCCAAAGGTGCCTCAAATTCCCTTCTTTGCCCCCCAATTCGTGGTCAATGTTAATCGGTGCATGTGGTCGGGCGCTGTTGCGCGTAATGTCTGCAGCCAAAACAACGAGTCCTAACCGTGACAACGAAGCAGATAAAGAAAAGGACGCAGAGAGCGAAGAAACCTCACACCAAGAAGAGATCTTCCGTCTGAGGCTACAGGGCTTGAAGAAGGTACGTTGCAAGCGGGAGGCGGTTCTGTTTCGTGAGACCACGAAACGCTCACGACACCCACCCACGCTGAACAGGAGGAAGCCGACCTCGAGGAACAGTACAGCAATCTTCTCCTCGACAAGAAGCTCCACCTCAGGGAGCTGAAGCGAGTCAGCGACGAGGACAACTCCCGCTTCAGCTCTCACCCAATACTGCACAACCGCTACCTTCTCCTCAATCTGCTGGGCAAGGGCGGGTTCAGCGAAGTCTACAAGGCGTTCGACCTTCAGGTACGATCGAGCTCTCGCACATCTGCGCCGTCTTACGGAGGAAGGCAACTCGGGTCTCATGCTCTCCTGTCAACCTCTCCAGGAGTTCCGATTGGTGGCCTGCAAGATACACCAACTCAACAGCATGTGGAGCGAACAGAAAAAGGCCAACTACACCAAGCATGCCGTCCGCGAGTACAACATTCACAAGGACCTCGTGCACCCGCGCGTCGTCCAGCTCTTCGACGTCTTCAAGATCGACAACAACTCCTTTTGTACGGTGCTCGAGTATTGCGAGGGCGGGGACCTGGTACGTGCGCCCCCACCCCTACTTACTCTTTGGCCGGCGAACATGGTGCTGAAAATTCGTTGTTGTTCTTTGCGTGTGTAGGATGTATATCTGAAGACGCGAACGAAGCTTCTGGAGAGGGAGGCCAAGCTCATCATCCTGCAGATATGCGACGGTCTCAAGTACCTCAACGAGCAGAAGCGGCCCGTCATTCACTACGACCTCAAACCGGGCAACATCCTCTTTTCCAACGGCGGAGTGAAGATCACCGACTTTGGACTGTCGAAGATCATGGAGGAAGATGGGACGTCGATGGAGCTCACGTCGCAGGGCGCCGGAACCTACTGGTGCGTTCATTCGGCCTTGGTCTTCTCTTCTCTGACATCCCTCGCCACTGGGTGATGCTTACCCATCTTACGTTTGGCCGGTCCGTAGGTACCTGCCGCCCGAGTGCTTCGAGATCGGCAAAGCGCCTCCCAAGATCTCGTCGAAGGTCGACGTGTGGTCGGTGGGCGTCATATTCTATCAGCTCCTCTACGGCAAGAAGCCGTTCGGCAACAACTGTTCACAGCAGAAGCTTCTCGTAGATCAGGTACGTGCGCACACTCGCTTGTGGGAATGTGGTACTCGTACGTGCCGAGTGCAGTCGCTGACTCTCCCCGTGGTGCTGTTGTCGTCGTCGTGTTCGTCGATCAGATCATCACCAAGGCCACGGAGGTGGAGTTCCCCGCCAAGCCACAGATATCGCCAAAGGGCAAGGCGTTCATCAAGCGATGTCTCACGCCTCACCAGTCCGAGCGACCCGACGTGCTCACCGTCTGCGAGGACGCCTACCTGAAGGAGAAGTCCACCAAGTAGGGGGCGTTCCTTCTTGACTGCGTCGGTCATTCAACCCTCTCTCTCTCTCTTCTTCCACACCCTGCCAAGTCTGGCGTTTTGTACAAAGAGCCTCTTTCTCTCAGCTCATTCCTGCCGTGGCAGGCAACACGTGTTTACAGCCCTGTAGTCTCCAGACCCTCTTGTTGGCCACAAGCATTTGTTTGCTGTTAAGACCCGAAGCTGTTGTAGCAGAAGTGGAGAGCCCAAAGGCCGAAGAGAAAAGCGCTTTTCCTGGGCTTTGGGACGACATTCGATTCATTTCGTTAATCTTTGTGGTGCCCGAGGCGTGGGGCAGGGCCTTAGATCGGTCAAGCGTAGATTGGTGGCAGTTTATTAAATTTAGAGCAACGAGGTTGTAAGATTTGCAGATGATGGAGGATGTGGAAAGCGTGAGAGATGGGAGCAGCAAACCGCCATCCGGGAGCTGCCTCGATCTCGCCAAACCCCTCAATGCGATAAGCCCTGCACCAGATGGCGACAGAATCGTTGCGGCAGGACGAGACGGTGCGTTGATCTCGAATTCTTCATCAATTTTTTGCCAGAGATTGTGACTCAGTACACCTATCCTGCTCACTCCCCTTTCCTTCCCGTTCGTCTCTTCACTCTTGTAGTCCTCAAGATCTACGATGTGCGACCGCACGACACGAACCAGGTGTTCACCGAGGTGGAGAGCCTGCGCCCCACCGAGAAGAAGTTAAATCTCAGCTACAGCGCCGTGGACGTGCAGTGGCACCCAACGGAGAGTGCGTGTCCCTTCCCTGCCCGCAAGTAGCCTGGCGACACAGTGCTACACTTTTGCACTTTCCTTCGACCACACTGGACACGAGCACGCAGTGACTCACTCTTGCTGTTGTGTGGCAAACGGCGCAGGCAATAAGATCGCAACGGCTGCCACGAACGGTGCTGTCGTCATCTGGAACGTCCTTCATAGAGACGGACGGACACAGAAGCGAGAGCGTGTGATCGTGGAGCACACCCGCACGGTCAATCGACTATCTTGGCACCCCGGCAACGCCTACAACCTTCTCTCCGGCTCACAGGACGGAACGATGAAGCTTTGGGTTCGTTCACTCAGCACTCTGCCCTTTGCCTCTACTACTACTACCCACACACACGACACACACACACACACACACACACGACACACACAACTTACCACTGCAGTTGTATTGTGCTGCAGGATATCCGAGATCCCAATGCGAAGGCGATCACCTTCGATGCCAAGTCCACCAGCGTCAGAGACGTGCAGTTCAACCCTTTCTACTCAAACTACTTTGGCGCCGCTTTCGATAACGGCACTGTGCAGGTGCCCAATTCCCCGCCGCTCTCTTTCTGAACTCAGTGTGCTTACACCATTTCGCATCTGCTGCGATCGCCAGGTGTGGGACATACGCAAGCCCAACGCGTTCGAGCGGCGATTCACCGCCCACGAGGGTTTGGTGATGACAATTTGTTGGCACCCCGAAGAAAAGAGCATTATCGCTTCCGGTGGAAGGGACAGGCTCATCAAGGTACTTGCTCTCGCGATGCACACCGACCGGCACGCTACTTGGGAGCAATTGCAGTCGATACTGATCTCTTGCACAACATCAATCTGTGACAATACAGATATGGGACCTGAATCCGCGAGCCTCCAACCCAAAACACACAATTCAAACGATCGCCTCGGTCGGGCGGCTGCAGTGGCAGCCCAACTTTCCAACGCGCATCGCCTCCACCGCGTCCTTAGTCGATTGCCAGATCCACGTTTGGTACATCAACCTTCGAACTATTCCTCCAACCGCTGCTCTTTACATTCGACCCCCCGAGTTACGTTGAGCGCTGATCCTGCTCTTCATCGCGAACACCGCACACGCGTGCACAATAACAGGGATAGCAATAAGCCCTTCATCCCGCTGAGCTCGGTGGTCGGGCACCGTGACGTGGTAACCGGTTTCATTTGGCACAAGACGGTTCCCGATTGCATCATTGCCTGTTCCAAGGACGGCACGCTGCGATGCCACAACCTCAAGGTACCGAGCGTTTCCGCTGCACACGACACGACACGACCGACACGCAACATGACACGATACACACATCGCACGTCTCTTCAGTGGTTCCGCTGCTCACTTCCGATTCTTTGGTCGTTCAATTATCTAGGAGGCGTATCGGCCATACAAACATATTCGCACAGTGGGCCTGTCGTGGAACGTGCGCAACGAGCTGGCCAACCTCCACGACTTCGTGGACAGGGACAACCCCACCGCAGAGTGCGTTCCTTCGTTCATTACCCACTTCCAGTGTTTCGAGAACCAACCGACTATTGTCGCCATTCCCGCCAATTGCTGATGTGGTCGTGTTGTGTCGTGTGATGCCACGCAACACGCAGGCCCGGGGTCAGTGCGCCAGCGAAGCAGGTGTCATCGATCTTCTCCCGATCTTCGGCCGGCGCCGGTGCCAAAACGGCGAAGGATTCGCCCAACGTGAACAAGGAGAGGAAGTCGCCCGTGATGCACCCCAAGGTCCCCGGCGTGGTCAAGATCCAAACGCCCATGCAGATGGTTCGTGTTTCCCGCCTCCCCGCGCACCGGGTCACTGGTGTGTACCGGACTCACCGTCTGGCACCTGCCTCTGCCGCACAGCACAATGCGGCGCTGTTCGACCACTACTCGTTCCAGCACCTGGCCCACAACTACCGCTACAAGGGCACCTTCACCGAGGTGTGCGAGCACAACGCCAAGGAGGCCAGAAGCGTCAAGCAGTTCCAGATCGCGCAGTCGTGGATGGTGCTCAAGACCCTGTACGCGGATATCGACAGCGAGTCATCAACTCCAGCACGAGGTAACATGATCGTCACGTGAACTCTTGGTGTGCCGAGTCGGTGGAGGCCTGGCGTTGACCCGCTTTCTCTCGCTTCCGCTCAGCGAGCTCGACCAGAGCATCGAACGGCTCGGTGGAGCTGGAGAGTGGTATGGGCCGCGAGGGCGACGTCGAGCGACAGTCCTTCACGCCCAAGGGATCGTTCATCGGCAAGCCGCACCTCAACAACAGCAACTCGACCGAGACACTGCCCGTCGTAGAGTCGATGGACGGTATGCCGACGTTTCCTCCGTTTGATCGTTGCTTGCTCTCACACCGTGACACGTTTCTTCTTCTTCTTCTTCTTCGCCGGGGCACAGACTACCTTTTGCCGCAAGAGCTCGCCAAGGACGTTGGCCGACGTGCGGTCAGCCAGGAACCGTCGCTTCCGGTACCGCGTCAATTGGCGTTGCGCTGTTTTGCTTTCTGTCTCCAGCAGGGGAGGTCACACTCACACGTGCGCGTTCGGTGGTGAATTCTTCTTCAACCTCTTTCTTGCACAGGTCAAGCGCTCTTTCGGGCTGACCGACAGCGACACCTCGATCCCTCTTCCATTGCATCCTTCGCTCCCCGGCAGTGGATTGGGTACGCTCGCACGTTCGTTCAAGTGAACTCTTCTCGTGTCGTCGGCTGGCACTTACGGCAGGTTCCCCTCCCTTTTCAAGCCAACGGTGGTACGACGGAGGGTCCGGGCAACATAGCGCTACGCAAATCGACGGGCACCGCCACCACGCTGCGACATTCCAACATGATCACGATGGGCAAGGGCGAGGGCGGCATTATGGACATCCACTCCATTACGGCTGCGCCTTTCCCTTCGGATCCGCCACTCCCGCCTGCCTCTCCTGCGCTACGACGTGGCCACGGTACAACAAACCACACGCCACACAACACGCATCACCCCTACTGCAACCCCGTGTTGTGACGATCACGTTTGCTGATGGGCTGTGGCCGCAATTAATTGTCATTAAACAATGAATAGGCGACGATGACGACGGGTTTGATGACGAGGCGGAGGGCAGTGACGACGAGAGTGAGGGCTATGACGGCGATGTCTTTAGCCGGGTGGAGAGCGCAAGCCATATCAACGGAGTCAAAGAGGCCGACTTTGTCGAGGCAAGCATCCTCTTTCCTCCCCTTCCCCTTGCGGTGGAACGTTTGCTCATAGTTAGTGACTTGCCGTGCAGATGGCCGCTCAGGTGATGGGTGCCAACGGAGGCTTTGGCGGTGGCATCGCTCGCTGGTGCTACGAGTCGGTTGTACGGGAGATGCTGGAGTTCTACGGCAACCAGGGCGACGTGCAGACCTGCGTGACCATGGCGCTTGCGCTGCAGGGTCATCTCCCGCTGGACAAGAAGACCACCACCCAGTGGTTCCTTTCTTATATCGGTAATGGCAATCTCCCCCCTCCAACGCCTTCTTTGTCTCCCTGCGCGAAGCCTGCGAGATGCTGATCATCGCGGTTGGCGTTTTTTTAGAGCTTTTGCATCGTCTTCAACTTTGGTCGGCCGCCAACGAGATCATCCGAATTTGCCCGATAGACGACATACGTGCCATCAATCAGGTACCCCCTTTACTCCCCTCCTTGCGATGGCTTGTGGAGCTCACCGCCACTCACCATTCGCGCCAATTCGCAATAGAAATCTACAACAGTGCACACCAACTGCCCAGGGTGTGGTCGACCGCTCTACAAGGTGGGCTGGGCCTGTGAACACTGCAATAAGCCGACCAACACGTGTTCGGTCTGGTACGCGTTGCCCCCCCCCCACTCACTCCATCACATCGTGCGTTGAGATCGCTCACTTCGCCGTGTCTCCATCGCAGCCATCAAATAGTGAAGGGTATCTACGTGTGGTGTCAGGGCTGTGGCCACGGCGGACACATCCAGCACATGTACGAGTGGTTCGAGAAGAAGAAGCAGGCCGTGTGTCCTGCCGCCTGCGCTCACCTCTGCACGGCACGCGATTTTGTGACAATGCCCCTCATGGGCTGAGCATGTGCGCCGCGCTCCTCCGCCTCTGTCTCTCCTTCCTCCTTCCTCCTCCCTCTTCTCTTGCACATACTTGTACGGATATGAAACGTTACACCAAACCTGCTGGTGAACATGTAGGTTCGTCTGCAAACATCCCTGGGCCTATCCCTGTTTGCTTTTTGTATTTTATTGTTTAAAGGAGAAAAGGAGGAAAAGTGGGAGAAATTGGCCAGACAACGAAGCCCTTTTTTTCCCGGTTTTGAAAATGTAACGCACAAACGACACGCAGGGCAGGGCTGTACATTTCATCTTGCTTTTTTTTGATCTAGAACAAGATGTCCAGGTACGTACAATTACGGCAAGATCGTTGTTATATGTTCCTTCTGCCCAAGTTGTTCCTCCTAACGCTCTCTTATGCTGTAATCATGCAGCCAGACTTTCCTTCCCAACGTTCTTTGGGCTCAGGTACTCCTCTTCATCGCTAATTTCTCAGATCAATCCGTTCAAACGCTCATCTCAATGATATACGATTTGTGCAGCGCAAGGACAAGCTGTTCCTGACGATCGACGTCCAAGATGTGAAGGACGCCAAGATCGAGTTGACCGAGACTCATCTGAAATTCAGCGGCTCGGCTCAGGGTAAGGACTACAACCTCGATCTCGAGTTCTTCAAGGAGATCAACCCGGAGGAGAGCAAGTACGCCGTGCTGCCGCGTCACATCGTCTTCAACATCGTCAAGAAGGAGAGCGGCCCGCACTGGGATCGCCTCACGAAGGTTGGCGGCAAGCAGTGGTGGCTCAAGGCTGACTGGGGCCGCTGGGTGGAGGAAGATGAGGAGGATGAGGGTGCCGGCGAGGGCGGCGATTTCGACATGCCCCCCGGCATGATGGGCATGCCCGGCATGGGTGGCATGGGCGGCATGCCCCCTGGCATGATGGGCATGCCTGGCATGGGCGGCATGGGCGGCATGCCCGGCATGGGCGGCATGAACTTCAACGACTTCGGCGGCGACCTCGAGGGTTCTGACGAGGAAGACGAAGACGACGACGAGGGTATGTTTCTTCTTCTCCTTCTTTGTACGCACTGTCAATGAGCTCACCTGTCTCCCGCTCTTGGTGATGATGGCAATGCAGTGCCCCCGCTCGAGGAAGACACCAAGGAGGGCCAGCAGTGAAGCGGAGGTCGCCAGTGAGAGTACACTTGCGCGTTTCCGAGTTCTGCGTGCGCAGCGGTTGTAGAGAGAACAAAGTTTTGCTCATCCCCACAGTCCTCATCATGTTGTGTCCCTCGTCTCTACCAACGCTCTCCTCTCAGCGTTACTTCTTGGGCGTGTGCGGTCGTGATTGTGCGTGTCGTGCGGTGTAAGACCTTTTTTCTTCTGCCTTTTCTCGGTTCAAGCCCTTTCCAAGAAGCGAGAACACGCACGAGTTGGCGTTGCGACCATCTTCGTGAGGCAGAAGCTTGCGCGTGTTACACCTCCGTTGTGGCAAGATGTCGTTCAAGATTTATTGGGACAGGTAGGCGTTCCGATGGCATCCTGCCAGCGAACCCTCACTTACGTGCCGCCCCTTCGCGATTTTTCAGGATGGGCGAAGAGCAGG